ATATTTGTAAGACATTGTTATATCAGTTCAATGTCTGTGATGAAATGGCTCATGTATTGCTAACATTCTATGGTTTTTTGATCATTTCTGAGTTCTTTATTATTGTTTAAATGGTTTTGCCATACAATATTCATTTCTCTGTCCATTATTGCAAGAAAGATTTTGCCATATTCTAATGGGGAGCCATGTGGCTTAGTTCAATCTGAATTGACTTTCTCACAGAAAACTGCCACAAAAAAAAATTTATGACAAATGCAGCTTCCAAAAGACAGAACTAAAACATCAATGACAAGGTTTTCTTTCCCTCCATAAAAACAATAACTTGTTTTGTCCACATTTTAACCATTTTGTTGCTCAATAGCAGATTGTGTTGCTATTATTGAGACATTACTTTATTCAAAGAGTGGGAATGCTTTTGCATACTTCAAATTGTTCTATTGAGCTTTTACCTTCAGATAAATGGCGCCATTGTCAACCAGGCAAAACAGACTGATTGCTGGGGGTTGGGGTGGGGGTGGGGGGTAGTAGCTATGAAAACTTGTGGAGTTCATCCCGTCTGTGTCGAGTTAATGGTTTATTCTTGTTCAAATAAAAGTAAAACAGTCAATAATCTGTAGCTGCATATTAAAATGTTATGAAAAAAAATGGCGTGACTATCGGTTAGCAGAGACTGCAGTTGTTTAGGGGCCCAAGACCTCTATGGGGCCCCGTCCCCTGGTTGGCTCCCTACGCAATTGTGGACACTAGGACTTCTTTTTGCAGATGTAATGGTGCAAAAAATTCCTCTGAAAGCCACCTGATACTTCATTGACTCACCGGACCTTATTTATACCCGAACACATGGCAGATTTCAACATGATGATGAGCCGTTTAAACACGACACCAATAGCAATGCTGACAGTGTTACTTTTAATTACTATGTCAATAACTGTGTATAGTTCGTTAGACAGTTGGTAAAAAATACACTCATATAAAATGTTTCAAACCGCAATAAAGATCTTAAAAGAACGATGAATTTTTGTATTTTATTTATTACAATACCACTTGGAATTATGGGTAATCCAGAGCGTAGCTCAAAACCATACGTACAATGTGTTAGCGACTATGGATACCAAAAAGGTACTTAAGCGGATTCCAGAAAAGGGAAAGAAGAGCTGATGGAAGAATGGAAAAAACTTCCCAAAATAAACATGTTCTTTCAAAGAACCAAAGATGGAGGACGTTGATGCTTCAGTGAGTAACAATTGCGACTAGGAGATGAATGGAGAGAGCGTGGGTGAGGAGGGGGGCTGTGAAACTCAAGGTAGCCCAGTAAGACTCTTTTTACAGCAGAATATACTAAAGTATATCCATGTCTAGTGAAGGTGATGGGGATTTGTACTTCATATGGGGCCCACCCAGATAATGTTGCTTACGGGCCTGTTGTTATGTCGTTACCCCTGTGATGATATACTATCCTATCATTGTGCCAGTAGACATTGGAATTGTGTATTTAAAATGGACCATGTAACATGACCGAATGAGGGTGCATAAATGAGCATGAAATCTTCCAGCATATCCTTGTTGTGTCCTTATTGAAATATCTGCTGCCAGGGGACTGCAGCCACAACTGGTCATATAGAAGCTAAATATAGAAAGAGCAACACAAGTCAAAGCCATCTAGAGGAAAGCATGGAGAACGCTTCCATTTCTGATAGAAATCAATGTCTAGTGGTGTAAGGGTATTGATCAGAAGAGCTCCAGGCTTCTCTGTTGGGAAGTTGATTAAGTTAAATACGCTCATTGTCTCGTGATGTCATTAGCTTCCTGAAAAGTCCTAAAGAAATCTGCTCTAACAATAACCTACCCTCAGTTTGATGTTTAAAGACAAAAATGATTACCCTTGGTATTTTACTTGTATTGTTTCAATATGTTAAAGACATGTTATTGATAGAAAGCATTTTAACTCAATGATTATCTAGCTAACTAGACGCTAATTAGGTCTTAGGCATTGATGGTTAATCAAATAATCTGGATGCTAAATTAAACCTCTTTCTCCATACCTCCAGCATACTAAGGTTTAAAGGTCCCATATTATTCTACAATTGAAAACAAATAAACAATGACCCTAAGAGCATGTTTTTTTTCCATTTGTGCAGGAAAATCCCTCTCAGATTGGGCAGACAGCCTTTACCAAAGGTCTCCTAATTCAGCCCTACAACCCCCAACCATGACAACCAGTCAAGAGTTCGTAAAGATTGCTTAGAGGCATGGACATAAGATAGGTGGCTATAGTCCGCCCTGGACAGCTTATTTCCCCCTATGACATCATAAAGGGAGAGCTTTTCAAACAGTGTTTTTAGCACACATTAGCTACAGTACGAGGTGGAGAAAGGCAATATTGTTAATCTCATACACAGGCTTCAGGACACATATGACTGTTAAAAAGTGTTTAAAAAGTAAATTTTGTCTAATATGGGACCTTTAAAGTAATTATCTAACTGATGTTTCTTGTGGCTGGAAGTCAATTTAGTATCTTAGAGCAACCAGAGTCCTGAAATCATTTTTGATAGAGACACTTTGGAGGAAATTAAATTTATCAAGAATGTTTCAGATAAAAATCAGAAAATGCATACATGAAATATCCAGACCCCTTTAGATTTTTCACTTTGTATCATTGCAGCCAATAAAGTAAATTTTATTTCTCATTAATATACACTCATCACCCGATCTCGGCAGACAAAAAACAAAAATGTAGATTTTTGCAAATTTAATAAAAAAAAAAACCTGAAATATCCACATCGTTATAAATATTCAGACCCTTTGCTGCTATTTAACTCACATGCTGTCCATTTCTTCTCATCTTCCTTGAATCCAGGTGTGTTTAATTGAACTGATTAGACTGATTGGACTTGATTAGGAAAGGCGCACACCCGTCATCGCCCTTGTCATAGTAAAATTTTAATTTGTTTGAATAACACATTTTAAAAATCCCAAAAAAATTGTTTAAAATAATTTTTTTCCACTTTTTTTTTAAGAAAATTCAAAGAACATGATTAAATGTGGTTACTGTGGGATGTTTAGTGATATAAATCCCACCTCTTAATGTAACTGGAGTCATGTTGAAGCCGTTATTAAACGTGAATATGTTACAAGAGCAGTGATTGTTGGGCTGTAGTCACCACCATAGTTACCTAAGAAAGAATGCAAAGTTTTTTTTTTTAATCCCCGTTAATTATCATCACAGTACTAGATATAAGATTTCATCTTCAAATCACCAAGCCCTAATTATTACTGAACTTTGAGATAAACTATCAGCTGTTTTGTGAATATTTGCCATGTGCAAATTTTCCTTCAAGTCCAAGAAAGTAGTAGAAGAAAATAATAGTTATAATTATAAGCATTGGATAATATTTAGGCATCTTGCTGTGGAAAATGTAAATCTTACAATTTCATCTATGAAAGAAGGGAAAAACAACATTATGATTAGGATTGCTTAGCTCAGGTAGGTACTTAAACTTTTATTACAAATTTAAATTTAAAAAACGAGGATGCCTTTTGAATTTGGTGATCACTTTTTTAATCTACTCGGAGGTTATTTAGCTTATTTCACTACTTATTCCATGGAAATTGTAGAAATGCACCACAATAGACTGGATGTCTTTAAAGCTACTTATAGCAAGAATGTGTTTATTTATTCATAATGTTATTTATATTAGTCTGTTTACAGATGTCTTTTTTCTTTTTTTTTTTTTTTAGGAAGCAACAGTCTAAAAATCCAATCTGAACAATGTTAAAAGCTTTTTATAGTATTTTCCTAAAGTCGGCCATAAGGTCTAAAACATTTGAGGAGAGCAAAGAAGCATAAAAGGAAACGGCACAAATTTTAAATCCTTTTTCCCATTAATTCTGCATTCCTAAATTTGTCTTGGAACAATAGGCAGAGGTGCAGTCAGCCGGTTAAAGTTCTGTTTTCAAGTTTAGCTATATCTTGCTAGTTTTTAAATGCATGCATATTTTAACAGTGCTACATGAAATCCCCAGAGGGAACATCCCTAAGGAATAAATCCAAAGCAAAAACTGCTAATCCAGACAACAGAGCTCAGTAATAAAGCAAATCAGCGCTAAAAACTAATCCTATTTTTAGAAAAGCTGCTACTATTTATTACCACGGTAGACCTTAAACAAAAAAAAGACACCCATCTTTAGTATGTTACTCTCTCTTTAATAATGTGAATATTTATTTACCTTGTAAGCAGCATGTGTAACAGTGTCTACAGCATCATTTTCAAATCTTGTGATCAAAAGTTATATGTAATCAGACATATTAAAGTGAGCCTACAGGTGTGTAAATAAGCTAAGATGTAGTGTAATATTACAAAAAACATGGTATATCTGTCTATTCAAAACATTAATATATACGCACACAATTTTTATTTAAAACCTTTTCCATCAGAGGGAGAGAGGATATGTTTCATGCCCTGCACAAATCAACCAAAAGCCAAAAGAAAAAAAAGATAACAAAACAACCTTTCAAGGCACTTCATTACTCAGCAAAGCACGAATCAAACAAAACCCATATTAACATTTTAAACCTGGTTAGAAATCAGAAGCTTGTAGTGATCAAAAGGGCACGTCTTCCATCTTGGAAACAGTAAAAACATCAGAGCAGCCGTTAAGCTTCGTCATTCACCCATAAAGTGCATAACCTGACCTGCTCCAGGCCTTAAACCCCCTCATTACCTGATGATTGAAGAGCCAGAAGCCACAGATGGTCAGCTAACATGGCCGCCGTGCCATACGTCCGCCTCTTCAGAGTTAGATTACAAAACTATGGCTTGTGTTGGTGACTGGTTCACCAGGAAGCAGTCTAGATGGGATGTTTTTTTTAGACCTGTGGTCTGTCAAGCCTTCCAGCTGTGGAGGATTTTTTTATTTTTTTGCCAAGTAAATTAGCACCATTTGTGATGTAAAATATGGGGTTCGATTCGCATCACCGGAAGCCTCTTGAACGATCACATCATCTGATAAAACGAGGTTTGTGGTTTTAATAAAAAAAAAAGACAACCTAATTCTTAGTGTTGACATATTTCATAGAGAATTAAACACATCAAGCATCAAAAGCAAATCATTTCAACATGAATCATTAACATAGAGTCTAATATCTTAAAGTGCATGTTCATGTCAAATCCCCCACATATCAAACCAAAGCTGCACGTTAACATAAGGAGGTAAGGAGGAAAACCACTGAAGTAAACAGGCTGAAATGTTAAATTCAACCTCAGCTACATTATTAAGTAATGATTGGATTAACAGGACAGGTTCATTCTTTTCTCCCGTTTAAACGTCATTAAAATGATTTGTATACATATCAGCTATGTGCTCCACATTGGTTCTGCAGTTTGGAGCTTCCATACCACACTTGGCACTTAAAACAAGAGGGAATGATGGCCTCTGGATGCAAACTGGCCCAAAATGGTAAAATGTTGGTTTATAATAAGTCAGTGGCAGAACAAAGTATTGACACAAGGGACCTGCATATTGAACCACCCAGAGCTTAACCTGATGATCTGCTCACACAGCCACATGGAGGTGCTGTCCATCAGTTCGGAGAAGATTTCTTCTCAAAAGGCAACGAATGTCTGAGATGTTGATGGTTAATTTAGTTGGAGATTGTCAGATTTTCAAAGAAATAAAGTCTTCCAGTTTGTCGAAGTCAAGAGAAATTTATATCGAGATTCCAGAGAAAAGAGATCAGCTTCATTGGAGTTTCTTAAGTGTTTTAGTTGCCAGATAAAATAACCCACGGCTAAAGTCAGAGTCATGCTACTTCCTCTGAACTTTATGCTGCAGGGGAATAAACTCCGACTCTTTCAGGTCAAACATCACTTCCAGCCTGAAACATGGAAAATAGAAGGATGATGGAGGCGAAAGAGAGAGAGGATAAAGGACAGGGCTTGGAGCTGATCTTAGGCGTTGTTGTGGAACAACTGAGTGACCTGGATGACCGGAGGAGAGCTGCTCAGCGACGGCCTGCACCAGCAAGCAGAGGACCGCACGGGCTGGAGCCGACACCTGTCCCTGCAGAGACAAACACGCTTTATTTCACTACTTTCCGCCAGTAAATGATAGTTAGCTTATAACTTAGTAAAGACGGCAGATAAACTGACAGAAGAAATATAGAAATAAGATGTGATGCTTTGCAAAAATACCCATACCAGTTGAACTTTTCCCCATTTTGTCATGAAATCACAAACTTTAATAATTTAATGGCATTTAATTTAATGGATCAACATGGAAGTTGATCATTATGAAGGGTCAATTAAACTGTACATTATTTGATGTAACAGCAAAAATCAGGAGTGTGATGAGAATTTCCAAACTCAACAAGAGAAACTGCTTTCCCTGCAGCTACAGTTTAGGAAACAGCTCAGAGAGATATCAGTAAATATGAATCTTTAAATCTCAAATTCTAAGTTTGATATAGCTCTAGGCTCTGCACTGGAAAAACGATCTAGAAATAAGTAAACATTTCTTAACCCTCTCCAGGCAGATGTTGCAGATTTGCAACAGCTAAATGCTACTTAGCTAATTACTCCACATCCATATTTTAAGAGCTTTTGTTAGTCAGAAGTAGAACAGAAGGACTTAGTTGTGCATTTAAAACAAACAGTTGTAACTGCACTGCTGACTCACTTTCAACATGGCTGAGTCATTGGTGTCACTGAAACAGATTTTCTAAGCACCGATTTCATATAAGTATCACTACCAATTTCCATTATTTTGAAACCAATACTACATAAGATGAATCATGACTGTGTATAGATATGACACATGCCAGTTAGTAGATCTGGGTTTTTCACCAGAGGCATCTTGATTTCAATGTTGTGGATTCGCAACGTGTGCCCAAACAAGTACCAATGGATGCTACATGCTTTATCTACTAATTTGCCTATATTTTGAGCAACAGTTTAACAGAAACGGCCTTCTCAAGAGGTTTTGAGATGTCGGTGGAGAAAAAGTTGTCTCTAATTTTGTGAGAGAACATTTTTTTTTCGAATTTTTTTTTGTTAATTTTTTGGTTGTGACATTCAAATAAAGTTAAAGTTCATATCAGATTCAGTCTTCTGTGTTAATTTACCACTCCGGGCCACTGTTGCAAATCTGCAACATCCCAGAATTCATTGCATGTGAAGGTCTCTCTCAAAAATAAGTCTGACTTGTATATTACTACCCCATATGACCATTTTCTCCAAATATCAGTTTTTCCTGCAACTAAAACTAAAACCTGAGCCTGAGAGGGTTAAATTAAGTGTATTTACCCTTAATTTGAGTAGGTAAACGTTTGCCAATGGAATGAGTATTTTTACTCTTAAAATAAGATAACTAGATAATGTGCAGTTTAAATAAGACAATCGTATTTTGTTTTCTTATTTTAAGTGTAAATTGTGTTGGCAAAATGTCTATTTTACCTCCTTAATCCAAGAAAAAATGCACTTATTTTAAGACAAAAATGACTTATCTAAATTTTCATTTTTTCCAGTGTGACTAGGCCACTCTTAAACAAGAAGACATTTCAATCCAAATTACTTTTAGAGCAGCAAACCAGAGTTAAATGGCTTAATTATCTCCTCTGTCAGGGGCCTTGTCCCAATAATTCACTTTCCTCTTTCAGTTGCAAAAGAGTTTCAACATATTTTGACTTACAGGAAAAAAAAAAAAGATAATTCAAGTAAGATGTTGGAAATCTGACAAAATGAGGAACAGTTCAAGGGGTGTGAATATTATTTAAAAGGACCTTTAAGGATGGAGCCAACCACTGAAAGAGACTGACAGACACAAACATCTCTGTATGAGAGGCGGTCAGAGTTAGTAGTAAATAACATTCACAAAGGCTTAAAGAAAACACAGAAGATGGCGGTGCGGTGAACCAGCACCACAGCTGGGGGTCGAGTCTTTTTCAGGTCGCGTCACATGAGACATTAGCCAGATTTAAAATGCACGTCTGTGTCCAGCGGCTGCCAATCCTCTGGAGGACTAACCCCAGGTTTTGAATATTTCTACACACTGAAAGAGCGATGAGGGAGGTGAAAGCTGAACTGATGATATAAAGAAACTCCTCCCAGCATTAACAACCGTTTCCACATAAAAAACACAGACATTACTGCGAAAAGACTCCCCTTAACCCCCCCCATTAGATTTCTTATATTTCGGTTATTTTCTCACTTAATATTTTCAAATCATTAACCCTAAAGGAGCCTAAATATTTTTTTATTATGCCCTTACAGTTGAGGGATACGGGTGGGATTCTCTGGGCGTGTGCGTGGTCTTCTCTATTTCACCTGACTAATTTGTTGAGTTTACAACCATTGATTCATTAGCGGGAGAACACAGGGGACTGATGGATCAGAGAGAGAAGCTAAAAGTGCACCTTAAACGCCATCACAGAACTCTTGACTAGTTTTTAAAGGAGCTCCCGAGACCAGGAAACGAAAAAGGCAACAGCACTTCATCTGGTTCCCTTTTGTCTAAAAAGATGCTCCATTTCATTTTTATAACTTTATAACCTCCTATGACATTGGGTTTTTAACCTATCCACTTCATTTCTGGGAAATTCGCCTATTTTTCCTACCCAAATGGAAAATAACTGAGGAACTGTAAGCCCAAATTACATCTGTGATACATTATTTGAAAGCTAAAACCTTCTAGTTTCTGAATATATACAGGTGCTGGTCATAAAATTAGAATATCATGAAAAAGTAGATTGATTTCAGTAATTCCATTTAAAAAGTGAAACTTGTATATTATATTCATACATTACATACAAACTCATATATTTTAGATGTTTACTTTGTTTAATTTTGATGATTACAAATGACAACAAATGAAAATCTCAAATTCATCATATCAGAAAATTAGAATATTGTGAAAAGGTTCAAAATTGATGGCCCCTGGTGCCACACTCTAATCAGCTAATTAACTCAAACCACCTGCAAAAGCCTTTAAATGGTCTTTCAGTCTAGTTCTATAGGCTACACAATCATGGGGAAGACTGCTGACTTGACAGTTGTCCAAAAGACGACCATCGACACCTTGCACAAGGAGGGCAAGACACAAAAGGTCATCGCTAAAGAGGCTGGCTGTTCACAGAGCTCAGTGTCCAAGCACATTAATAGAGAGGCGAAGGGAAGGAAAAGATGTGGTCGAAAAAAGTGTACAAGCAAGAGAGATAACCGCACCCTGGAGAGGATTGTGAAACAAAACCCCTTCAAAAATGTGGGGGAGATTCACAAAGAGTGGACTGCAGCTGGAGTGAGTGCTTCAAGAACCACCACACACAGACGTATGAAAGACATGGGTTTCTGCTGTCGCATTCCTTGTGTCAAGCCACTCTTGAACCACAGACAGCGTCAGAAGCGTCTTGCCTGGGCTAAAGAGAAACAGGACTGGACTGCTGGTGAGTGGTCCAAAGTCATGTTCTCTGATGAAAGTAAATTTTGCATTTCCTTTGGAAATCAAGGTCCCAGAGTCTGGAGGAAAAGAAGAGAGGCACTTCATCCACGTTGCTTGAAGTCCAGTGTAAAGTTTCCACAGTCAGTGATGGTTTGGGGTGCCATGTCATCTGCTGGTGTTGGTCCATTGTGTTTTCTGAGGTCCAGGGTCAACGCAGCCACATACCAGGAAGTTTTAGAGCACTTCATGCTTCCTGCAGCTGACCAACTTTTTGGAGATGCAGATTTCATTTTCCAACAGGACTTGGCACCTGCACACAGTGCCAAAGCTACCAGTACCTGGTTGAAGGACCATGGTATCCCTGTTCTTAATTGGCCAGCAAACTCTCCTGACCTTAACCCCATAGAAAATCTATGGGGTATTGTGAAGAAGAAGATGCAATACACCAGACCCAACAATTCAGAAGAGCTAAAAGCCACTATTAGAGCAACCTGGGCTATCATAACACCTGAGCAGTGCCACAGACTGATCGACTCCATGCCACGCCGCATTGCTGCAGTAATACAGGCCAAAGGAGGCCCAACTAAATACTGAGTGCTGTACATGCTCATACTTTTCATGTTCATTCTTTTCAGTTGGCCAACATTTCTATAAATCCGTTGTTTTTATTGGTCTTCAGTAATATTCTAATTTTCTGATATGATGAATTTGAGATTTTCATTTGTTGTCATTTGTAATCATCAAAATTAAACAAAATAAACATCTGAAATATATGAGTTTGTATGTAATGTATGAATATAATATACAAGTTTCACTTTTTAAATGGAATTACTGAAATCAATCTACTTTTTCATGATATTCTAATTTTATGACCAGCACCTGTACATGAAAATTGAGTAAGTAAAACACCCAAGTTGCATCTAACCCAAAATGCATCAGTTCAAACATGACTCAAATTTTTTTTTTTTTTATTCTCGAAAATAGTAGGTCTTTTTTGAGCAGCAGTTATAAAGACATGCTTGCTTGTCATGCTACATTTCAATATGGTGCTATAATTGTGCTTAGGTGCTCGTTATGTCCACAAAATGAACTTGGTGGTTAAATTGCGGAGATTCTAAGCTTTCCAAGGATGTCTAACATGTCTATATTGGTAAACATTTTACCAGAGTAATTTTCATGCATTCTGAGTTATTATTTGTAAAAGCTTTAAAATGGGTCACAGGCGACCCGGTGGGTTTTGAGAGATTAAAAAGCCCTGTTCAGTCGCAGTGGCATACTGCAGTGTCTTTCCTTTTCTCCCTTATGTACGCAAAACACTGGTGTCCTTTTAACTTGCTATTGCAGGCGGCAAATGCCTGCAAAAACAATGTAAATTGGACTATGCTTCTTTAAACTTTCAGTTAACAACCTTCTCCTAACCAGCCTCTGTTTAATACCAGGTCTGTTTGCCTAAACCCTCTTATGATTTAACACTTTCAACTATGAGAAAACAAGCAGAAGCACAAGAAATCTGCAAGGAGGACAAAACACTTTTCCACAGCAACGCAACAGGAGCTGACATTTAGCATGCAAGGTTTGTAGAAAGAGACAGACGTGGAAAACAAAGCCCAGCCCATCTTTGAAAATCCTTGCAGCCCATTACAGAACATTGTTGTAGCGCAGGTTATGGGATGCAAGTTACAGGCGATAACATGAGACATCTGCTGCAGTTCAGCCTGACGGGCTGGCTTTAAGAATACCTGACAGGGAAGGATGCTCTGCTTTCACACTGCAGCCGCACTGCTGGGAAATATGCAGGTAAAATAAACATCACATGGCGGAACACTTTAAGAAACTATAAAATAATGATAATGTCAAAACTAATTACTAAATAGATCAGCAAATCTTGAGTTAAACTATTTGCTCTAAGTGCATCTAGGGCGTCAATTTATCATGCATCAGATAAGGGCTTCACTGGAAAAAATTAAAATCTAGACGAGTAATTTTTCTTAAAATAAGTGCATTGAATTGAGGAGGTAAGAGACATCTTGCCAATTGAACAAGACAGTTTGAACCTAAAATAAGAAAACACAATTGTATTGTCTTATTTTAAGTGCATATTATCTAATTATCTTATTTTAAGAGTAAAAATAATAATTCTATTTGCAAACGATCTCATTTACCGACTCAAATTAAGGGTAAATACACTTAATTTAAGACATTTTTACTTATTTCTAGATCTTTTTTTCCAGTGTTGGGACACTCTTGTGAAGCTCAAAACCTGTTTGGTGTGAAGGCAGCATTAAAAAGATGTCACACCTATAAGGTAGGGTGGAGCATGAACTCATTAATCTTTTAATATTTGTTGTCTGGGTGCGTCTTTTACCCCGTGTCGTCAGGTGTGTCCTGATCTGCCTCCGCCGCAGAGGACTCCACATCCACGTCTGCGCTGCCCTCACTTCCCTGAGCCGACAGACCGCATGAGGACCCCGGGCTCGCACATCCCCCACTGCAAACAGACGGGCGTATGAGAAAGAGGCAGTAAACACCTAGAGCAAATATTGTGACTGTGTGCGCATCTGTTGTTTCTGACAACTTCCACATTCATTCATTAAGTCAACGTTTGCACAGGTCCACTGACTTGAAGTGCTTCTCCAGCATCAGGATGGTCTGCTCCCTCTCCTCCAGCTTCCTCTTCAAGGAGTCGATCTCTTTCTGCTTCTCCAGCAGCTCCTTCTGGAGGCGATAGTTGCTCTCCTCCAGAGTCTCACAGAACGCCTGAGTGAAGGAAAAATAATTAAAGCATGAATCACAGATGTACGATGGATCAACACAAACCTCTAAAACTTTAGAGGTATGGCATGGGTTCATATCCAGGCCACACTATGAAAACTCATAAAGCACAAACGCTGTACAGAAGTTAACTGTTTGATCTAGAAGCAAACTCCACTTGCTAAACAAACATGGTAGTGGAATCGTACAGCTTAAAAGAGAAGGAAATTTGGAAAAAAGGCCATAAAAGACTTGGAACTGGAACATAACTTAACTAACTAAACCACAAAACTTATCCTACATGGTTTACTTTTAGGGGATCAAGATATTTATCGTGCCAAAATAAAAAACCACCACCAAAATCCATGTCTTCATGCTAAAATCAAATCAAATATGTAATGCGTTCATCCTGATTGTGTTAACTTGGTCCTTTTGGAGCCAAGAAGTTTTGAATCAAAACTACTTAAACATCATAAAAAAAAAAGTTAAAAACAAACCACTGGACTTGTTTTGAGGATGTTTCTCTTCCCATCCAGGAAGCTTTCTCAATTCAAAATGTCTGGAGTAGAGATGAGATCCAGGCTTAAAAAAAAATAGCCTCGTTATGGCTTAGAAAACATGCAAACTGAACCCAAAACAGGTCCACCCCTTAGTAATGGGGAGCTATTGAGGTCGTTGTTTGCCTGCAAATTAACGACCCTCCATTACTAAGGTGTGGTCATGTTTTCGGTTCAGTTTGCATGTTTTCTAAGCCATAACAAGGCTTATGTTGGGATACTATATAAAGCCTGAAACTCATCGCTACTCCACACATTTTGAATCGAGAAAGCTTTCTGGATGGGAAGCGAAACATCTTCAAACTTGGAAAACAAAGTGCAGTGGATTGTTTTTAACTTTTTCTGGAATTACCTGGATGACAGCATCTGAGGCTGTAACTTCTGGTTAACTGAACCTTAGTGTTTATATTGTAATTTGAGCACTGCTATTATTTTATCCCTCTTGTGATCTAAATTAGCTTTTTCCACACTTATATCTTGGACATTTTCTATGTCTTTTCACACCTCTGTCTGGCTCCATTACATCCTTGTTTACTAATTGCGTGCATGTTCAATACCGCACCTCTGGCCAAGTGGTGTTGTTATGGTAAATAAAGCAAACACTTAATTTTACTATCAATTGAAACAAAAATATCCAGCAACCATTGTGAGCTACTGGCACAGAGCGTCATGAAGTCACGTTACATGACAGTGTCCCTTTAATCAGAAGATTAGAAAGAACCAGACAAAATCCAGGCATCCTCATCCAGTCGGTTTAGGAAGCTGAAAGCATGAAAACCTTTCAGATTCGTTTTCTCTTTCACTTCACCACTACCAATAACTTTGTGCAAAATTTCTTTGATCATATAAAAAAAGCAAACAACATGTATGCAAAAAGTATGCATTGAACAAAAGTTGGAAAATTCCTAAACAAAGTTTGGAATATCTCCTTAAAGTCATTAAGATATTTACTATTGTGGCATCTTATTGATCCCAACTGTTATTGTCATTTTGTATATACAGAATGTGTACAAAATGAAATGTCATATTGTGCAGCTCTCATGACATTTACATTTTCTTAAAGTGTAGCAGTGATCATGAGGCTCTTCAGACTGTTTGTTCCAACTGGTAACACAGAGTTTTACTAAAGCTAGAAGAGAGTAAGGATATAGTTTCATGAACAGTGCTCATAAAATAGAGCCCTGCTCTGTTTCCATCTGACCTTAAAATGAATCTTTACTGATCCTATCAGTGGACTCAGAAAAACAGTCCCTCAGACCACCTCTTGGTTCCAATTGAACAAAATGTTTGAACAGCATAAATTAAAGAACACCCCAGGCTTAGTTCCAGGATCACATCCTAAAAGACCTTCTTCTGTGAAAGCAGGATGAGGCTGGTTCGAGTTTTTCTTGCCAGTCAGGTGTTCGAAAATGAGCTGGAGCATATCTTAAAAACAAAAATCAACAGAGCTGCTCTCCCACAGAGCTCTCCAGCACCATGTATCCATCAACAGCTTCCAGCAGTGAAAGCCCTGCAAAAGCTTATTAAAAACGCTATAAGTTATTTTCCCTTGCTTGCTTAATCGTATAGAAAACACCAGAGTTGCTTCACATGCATCCATCGTCTGTGACATTTAGGTATTTCAAGGGTTTTGCAGAAGTCGTTATTGAAATGGATCCCTCCTAAATTTCCAAAACATCCTCCTTATGCTTACTTTATTGTAGAGGTATGGCAAATTGGATCTATTATAAAACCCTTATTCTGCACAAAAACCTTCCATGCTCTATGAGCAACAGGAAGTGGGTGATCTTTGATTCAATACGATCTAGGACACAATTTTAAAATTTCTACACTCAATTCAATTCAGTTTTTTTTCCTATAGTGCCAATTCACAACACATGTCATCTCAAGGCACTTTACAGTTCAACCAGATCATCCAGTCAGATTGATTCAAAGTTTTCTATCTAAGGAAAACCAGTTGATTGCATCGGCTCATTGACTCAAATGCAATCCCTCACACTAAGCATGCTTGTGGCGACAGTGGAGAGGAAAAACTCCCTTTTAACAGGAAGAAACCTCCAGCAGAACCAGGCTCAGTGTGAGCGGCCATCTGCTGAAGCCGACTGGGGTTCAAGGAGACAGAAGCAGAGATACAAAAAGCAGCTGTAAAAGGCGACCCCGTCCAGGAAACACACAGCCAGGCAGACAAGCTCAGAGCCAGCTCCCATGTCAGATGATGAAGAGAGCACATCCAGCTAGTCACAGTCAGAGAAACAGGACTACACTCAAACATTTGATCAAACTCTCTCTAAAGGTTTGAATCGACTGACTTCAAGTTAGGTGAGTGATTGAATTTAAAGTTATGAAAGTTTTTCATACATGCCTGAGTGGGACAGTCTGACCAAAGGGTCTGAATCTTTGACCTAAATGTTGCAATTTTAGCCATTTTGCACAGTGACGGGTCAGGTTTGGCCCGCGAGCCTTAGGTTTGACACGCAAATTGTCAACTTAAGGAGCCACAGAATATTTAAACAGCTGCATCACCAAATGTTTATTTTCTCATAAATGTATTACATCATTTTGGCCCCGCCCACTAAGAACACAGGCTTCTGTGCTGTATAGCTTTCAAACCTTGTCTAAAAACACACAGAAATTTTAAACCCTTTTAAAAACAAAACTACAGAAAGTCCTCATAATGCTCCAAACAGGAAGTGACTTCAGCATCCAATAAGAACAGATATCAGCCATCTTTTGAAACCTTCTCACCAGAGCTATAGTGAGCTTGACTGAGCGCAGCATCATGCATGGTTGAAAGGCTCATTGGAGGCTTTGAGGTAGAGCTGAGGTGTGAAAAGTCTTAAATGCTGCTTGCAGCTTCAATCTTATAAGCTAAGCTTCATTTCCATCCTCCTATGTCACAAAGCTTCTTACGAGATCTTAAAAAAAATATATAAAATGAATCATGTGGCTTAATAAACATCAACGTCCAAAATTATAAAAAACATACTTTGAATTCTTGTCATCCTTAGATGGCAATAAAACATTAATAAGCCTCCAACTATCCTGTAACAAGGGACACTACAGCACATCTATCTTATTTGTTTACCCTGCTCTCCTCAAGGCTATCAAAAGGCCCAGGTGGGTCATCGAGGCACAAGAACTCCCTCACCGGAAGGCTGTCAAGGAGAAAAACAGAAACATAACCACGCATGAGAGTTTTGAACAAATCAATGAAAATACAACAATATAGACCATGTATATGAGGCAGATATAGATTCTGGAACTACTCGGTTGAGAATCACTGACATGAGAGACAGAATCAGCCAAAGCGTGTGATCACTTTTAGGATGTAATCACAACATGAATTTAAAAAGTAAATGTTAAGGAAACAGCCAGCATGCAGCAATGTTGGGTACCAGTTGGCGATGTCTTTGTGTGCAACCAAGTTCTGCAAAAAAGCCTGTAGTCCCAGCTGCCTGTCCTCCAGGAAGTCCGTGTCGTAGTTGTCTTTAAACCACCTCTTAGGAGGCAGCGAGAGCCGGAAGCCGGGGAACATTTCCTTTAGCTGGGGAGAAAAAAAACAGTAAGAAAATATTATTTTAGCATCATGTTTGTTTACAGGAAAATTAACTGAGCCGAGTTGCCTGATTTCAAAGTACAGGGCAAACCCTCTATTCACCACCAGCCATTGTAGTAGAGAACAAAACCTGCACGGCTTCTACTGTTACCATCTCACTGAGCGCTCCGGTTTTCCAAAGGAAAGCTGCTTAGAAACCAGGCAGGGACACAAATTTGTGATTTGTGTTACCAATAGACTCTATTTGCCAAAGCAAATTATCAGTTTAAATTTCAAGAATCTATTCAAATTATACAAGATTTACATTTAGATTAATTACCTTCAATCTGATTCGATCTCAAATTGGATGGCAGGTATAATAATTCTTATCCATTAAATAATGGTTAAATGATGCAACATATCAATAGTAGTATTATATCAACATTAAAAAGCAAATTAATAAAGTTTGGTAGCTAATGGAAGCTGTAAGGATAGTGGAAAATGCTTTTTTTTATTAAATAATTGATCTTTTGCTATACGACTCGATCTTTAGGATTTCATAAGAGAATTTATTCAGAATAGGAAAATCTATTTTTGTAATACAGCCATACTACTTACGGTAAAGGTTGCTAGTGAAGAAAATTGGTTGTATTGGACTACTTTTTTTTCTTTTAACCATAATTATGCTTTATTTTAGGGCTGCAGCTAACAATAATGTTGCTTATCAATTAATCTGTTGATTAGTTTTTTGATGAATAACCGGATAGCAAAATATCTTCTTAGAAGGTTGTTTCTGTTTTGTTGTTTTACAAAATTCGGAGCAGGTAAATCAAACCCTTTGAGAAGTTCTGGATATCACATTTTCACAGACAAATAGGGTTTGTCATCTAAAATGCAAAGTATAAAAAAATTGTGTATAGTTTTGGTTTAATTTCGGCATAGAGTGGGTTGTTCTTTTAGCAAATGGCATGTTTTAGTCTGTATGATCTAGTTAATGATTTAATGAATTCCTGGATTGGGGCCGCCTTTTACAGCTGCTTTTTGTGTCTCTGCTTCTGTCTCCTTGAACCCCAGTCGGCCTCAGCAGATGGCCGCTCACACTGAGCCTGGTTCTGCTGGAGGTTCCTTCCTGTTAAAAGGGAGTTTTTCCTCTCCACTGTCGCTACAAGCATGCTTAGTGTGAGGGATTGTATTTGAGTCAATGCGTCGATGCAATCAACAGGTTTTCCTTAGATAGAAAACTTTGAATCAATCTGACTGGATGATCTGGTTGAACTGCAAAGTGCCCTGAGATGACATGTGTTGTGAATTGGCGCTATATAAATAAACTGAATTGAATTAAAGATTAAAAAGCAACAATATCAAACAAAATCAAATTTTTTTTACCTTTGAATTATCACCTAATGCTATTCAAAGTCACACACCGGGTGGTATTTCACTTGATTCATGCATCTCTGAATGATCCTCAATAATCAGATTAATCGTGATAAATAGATTATTGGAATAATGTTAACTAATAGTAATAGTAATCGATGAATCATTAACTGGAGTGAAGAGACTCTAAAATGTGTCTTAAGCTGATGAAGCAAACAAATTAGAGCAGTAATTATAACAAAATTGTTCAAAAACATATGTACCGGTAAACATTTTGCATTTAAGATTTAAAAAAAAAGAAACTTTTTCACCTCTCAATATGCTCTATCTGGAACTTCTCTAGTTTTAGTTGCATCTGGTTTAATTTCAGAAATTTCTTTAGGAAACCTTTAGGAAAATAATAGATAATTGATTTGCAAAATAATAATGAGCAGCAGCCTGTAATAATCCTATAAGAGTAAGTATGTTAGAATGGCCCCTCGAGGAAGGAGCTGCCATAACCCCGCTGCACCTGCACTGTAAACAAACGTCAACTTTCCTCATCAGGGAGCGGGGAAGTGAGGCAGAACGCGCTGATTTTGCCCAAATTTTAGACAAAGGATACGTTCACACTGCAGGCCTTGATGCTCAATTCCAATTTGTTTGCGATGCCGTTCATATTTCCAAATATATGCGACTTGTATGTCATCTCCTGTGTGAACTGCAGTCATACAAAGTAAGTGACCCGCATGCGCAGTAGTGGACGCAATGACGTCACAGGCCAGCGTGCTCTTTTTTTTCCCGGAAGTAAACATGGCTGTCAGTGCCGGCACTCATCTAGCGGTCTTTTCCAACCATAAAAACACAATCTTTTCAATATGGTTAAACATTAATAATGCTCTCCGCATCATCATCTGCTATGATTGTTGTTTTTCTTGCTGCTTCTGCGTAGCAAGATGCAGAATAGTGACCACTGTCTGGTATTAATGATGGCCAGGTCGCATTTGTAAAGATCAGACTCGTATCGGATTCAGGAACACATAGCCAAGTGGCCTGGGTCGCATTGGAAAAAAAATCGGATCTGTGTTGCTCAGACAGCCATGAAAAGATCAGATCCAGGTCGCATATGGGCAAAAAACAAAAATCGGATTTGGGTCACTTCAGGCTGCAGTGTGAACGTAGCCAAAGTCACTCTTTTAGCAGCTAATCTGCACAGGTAAGCAGCTTTTCTTTATTAGCTCATGTCCAATTCAAAACAGGATCTTTTAGTTGACTCTTATTTCAAATAATGGATGAATCCAAATTGACCGATAAAATTAGAATAAAATCCATTGATTTTTATGGCTGTAATGCAATAATAATGTGAAAAAGGTTCAATGAGAACTGTTGCAGCACAGAGAGCAATGAACTCTCCTTTCCCGGTTTGTACACAATCTCTTGCATTACCTAGCTACTATTTACTGTTAGCTTCGTGCCAAGGCTTACTAATGCAAATCCTCTGGAGAAATGACTATAATAATGCAGTAGATTTCAGTGTTTTGCATGTCACTACATCCTGTTTGGCTGCTCTGTTATGGTTATTTTGCAGATAAGTCAATAAGTCATTACATTAATATCTCTTTTTTTATTTTAAAGATTGGAATTCAGAAAACCACTTCAGAGCATATGAGACCCAGAATTTAGGCGTTTAAATCCATCAAATCGACCAAAAGACTTTGCAACATGATAATAGACTACATTTAATAAATGGTGATGAAAAAGGCAAAAAACGCTGGGATATGATCACTGCAAACTATAGCAGCTCTGCAGTTATAAATACTGCAGGACTTCTGGAGGCGCCTGCTGAAAATGATTAAAGAACAGAACAGAGGATGGACATTCAGTCCTGTCTTATCGTTAATCTGCTCTACTTTCTGCCCAATGCGATGCTTGAGGTAGAGGAAGAACAGCAGGTTCCCTTTGCAACACGAACGACAGCCAAAGTAATCTGGAACAAATATTCTCTCCTCAAGCCATGAGGGAGCCGCTCACTCACCTTGTTGGCTCGGGCCCGTCAGCTATGTGCGAACAGAGAGCTTTTGTGCAGCTCTGACCGCTTCTCACCAACAGCAGAAGGTTGATAAGAGTATATACAAACATTGGTGTAAGATAACAAAAAAATGGAGCTGAAAATGTCCTTGACTTTTTGGGACAGCTGCATGCAAGCATAATAAAAATAAAAAATAAACCAAGCGCACCTTGTCGTTGAGTCGGGAGAAATCTGTGTACCTCCTAAACACAACCCAGCTCTCATCCGATCTCTTCTTGACCAGAATCTTATAAACCTGAGATAGATAACAACTGTGGTTAAGCAGTAGAAGTTTAATAAAAAATATTTATAGATAGCATTTAATAATAACATAAATCTAATCTACCGTGAACTTGGCTCTCTCCTCCATGACCTCGTACCCCAGGACCGTAGGGGTGATCGGCCTCTCCTCTGCTTGCTGGCTCCCAGCAGGATCTGAAGCCGACCGCGGGACAGGCGGAGTACTGGACAGAAGTGTCCAGCATCCCGTTCAGCCTGGCCCGCGTCACGGGGCTCTGAAGGGGCGGGGGCGTCAGGCTGCGGTTGGCTCTGTCCGCGCATCGAGACTGCCGCTGTGAACCCGATCCTCTCCGCTCTTCCCTCGCTGACCTGGTGACGGGGGACGAGGACTCTGAGCTGCTAGAGACGCTTCCGAGAGACGCGGTGCGCTGCGGCCGCCTCAGCTTGCCGCCTGACAGAGCTCGGTCCATGGGGACGGGGACAGGCACGAAGGGTGAGGCCATCTCCCTGAGTTTGGTTCTTCTTCAGCTGGAATCAAGGCTTTTCACACCAGCAGACCTCTGAGTGGTCCGCCTTGGTTTCTGTGGTGACGAGGTCTAACAGGGGCCTTCAGAGGATGACATTGACTCTGAAGACACAGAACAACAGTGTTTTCTTTCGGTTTTAACTCTATAAATCACCAAATAATAGGAGAAACCCTCACATTGATCAAAAATGTGCAGAGGTGTCAAGTAAAAAATCTTTTGTTACTGTACCTAAGTACACTTTTAAGATATCTATACTTTACTATAGGGCTGCAACTAACGATTATTTTAAAAATCGATGAATCGGCCGATTATTTTTTCGATTAATCGATGAATCGGACAAAAAATATTTTTTATATTAACCTCTTTATTACAAAATAAACATTTTAGACAGAACAAACAAGCACACAAGTACAGGTTGCTCATTAACTGTCCTGGTGCAAAATGAAAAATAAATGTTTGTGTTAAAACTACGCAAACTTACATGAGAAATGTAGCTGTACATCCACAAAATATAGTGTACTTTGTTTCATAAAGCGCAAAAAAAGACATTTTTGTTTTTAAAAGCCCCTAAGGGGTTCAAACAATAGGTCCCCCCATTTCAACAAATGAGTTTTTTTAGACTAGAAGAGTTCTGCCTTTTAAGACAGGAAAGTATAGCAGTTAAAGTTGCTACTTGAGAAAATACTGAACCATAGAGATAAAAATAGCCCTGTGATTCTAATTATAAATTGTATTTGGAATAAAAATGAGAGAACTAGGGGTGGTAAAAAACACATCCTCCAAAGACAGATATTTACATGGGAATGTGGCAGATAATTAATTGACATATTACTGATCTTGCTGGATTTTATTCTGCTTTACTTCCATAAATTGCAGGATCTTCTTTACTTTATTTTTGCCAGAAGATTTAAACTTTAAAAGCCTTGCCCTCATAATTTGCAAGTTAATTTATTTATAAAGAAAATATAAACGCTGCTTAAGCTAATTCAAATTAAAAGTAAAATAAGTAGCCAACCTTATCACCGTCTGTAACCTACTAACACGGTAAGGAAAGCATCAGATGAGCTACCTGAGAAACTAATGTTACGTTTCCCCACTTTAAAATGAAACAAACATGGTGCTTCCGTGCCATGTTAATTTGTTTTTACAAAAGTTGCATGTTATCACTTTTTTCGCTTTACAAAGCGCAGGCTATTTTAATTATTGTGATCAATCTGTGCCGTCAATCCCGGCGCATGCGCGCTTCATTTGCAGTCTGGACGCTGAGGGTAAACATCCTGCGGCTCTGACTGCAGCGCTGAGAGGGACTCCTGCGAGAGCGGGGGGAGGCGCCCCACGGCAGAGTAGGAACGACGCATGCTTTCACGTAAGAGTCTCCAAAAGTCGATGATGAAATTCGTTGCCAACGCTTTTAAAAGTCGATTTTTATCGATTTTATCGATTCGTTGTTGCAGCCCTACTTTACTACATTACTTATTTTTCTTCCTAGTTCTGACTTCTACTCATTACATTTTTACACAAGTATCCGTACGTTCTATTCCTTACATTATTAAAACGAACGTCACTCGTTACTCTTGGCTTTGGTTTAATGTTTATAAATATTTATTTCACGTCATGTGCGCCATCCAATGCAGATCATTGGCTCCATCCACATCTAGTGAAAACTAGTGTGATTGATGAGTCATATAACGCAAACACTCATTGGTTAGCTAAAGGAAATCATCACAAGCAAGCAAGTGTTCTTCAAACTATAAACGTGAATCGACTATGCCATGCTACAATGTCGGATTCAGAAAAACATGTTGAAATGTCTGAAACGTCAGACACAGACGAGAGCGTATCGGGAGGTGGAGACCAACTTGGCCCTATCTTAAAGAATTTTAGAAATAGTCGAAAAATTTAGTTTTCAATTCATATAGTGGCATTTGGCTGTTTTTTTATTTTTAAGGGTCACTTTATACTTTTATACTTTAAGTAGATTTTGGAGCACAAACTTTTTCACTTTTACTTGAGTAAAGAGGTCAAGTTGATACTTCAACTTTTACCAGAGTGTTTTTAAACTGCAGTACCTATAGTAGCAAATGTGTGTATTTTTGACACCACTGAAAATGTGTTATAATCTAAGGGCACCAGACTGTAAAGGCAAGTGAATTATTCATTAAAGCCAAAACTCATCTATAATTTATGCATTTAAAATAAAGCCTAATATTCAAAGCAGAATAAAACTTCTAATCTTTTCTGCACCAATAAAAAAAGGAGTAAAAATAAAGCCAACTTTAAAAAGTCTGGATTTTTACAAAACAAAACAGCTTGTTTCAAAAAGCACACTGAAGAAAATTCTGTGTTTTTTGTAACAGAACATCCATGATATCCCAACAGGAATGGAGGTCATAGTTTAAGCCCAAAACAGAAGCAACTGCTGAGATTTTTAGAATGAACTCTGCATCCTACTAGTTTCATTTCAGCTTTTAACGACCTCAAAGCAATCACACACTTACTCACCTAATCAACTTAAAAAATACTGATCTGTTTCATCTGACTGGTTGTCCCTGTATATTCACATGAGTAAACATGTTCTGGTTATTTCAGTGACATGTCACTACATGCAGCCTAACTGCAGCTTAGCAGAGCAGGATCAATATACCCGACAACCTTTTTCTGCAGGAAAGAAGAGCCAGATATACAGGATACATGGTTGGAAAACACAGATTAGAGGCTATATGGTTTGCATTAACTGTCAATGAAGATATTTTATAGTAAAATCTGCTCATCCTATCCACCAAGTGGGCTTTATTGTTGCCAAATTGCAGTGTTCTTTGTTGTATTGCTGCAGCTTTACAGAATAGGATTTAAAAGAGGAGATGGAACTCCAAAAATGCCAAAAAAGGAGAATAAAGTTTTTTTTGTTCTTTATATCGGTCACCAGAATTATGTGTTCATGAAGGCTTATTTTTTTGGAACTACATATTATTTTTTACTATATAATCATTTAGGCTAAACAGTGAGAGACATGATAACTTTCCATGACCTGTTTTAAGTTTGAACTACACAATATGCCACTGAATTATCTAAATTAAAGGCATACTATGCAACATTTTTCAGTTAATTAATGTGTTCCATAACGTTTTGGATGATTAAATGAGTCATTTCAGGTTGAACAAAGGTATTCTCGGCCGCCCTGGTGGTCTGTGGGGGAAATACTGCACTTGCAACTGCAGGAGCACCGACCCGCACCCACAGGCTCAGAAGTCTTGTGAGAGTCAGTCTTGCTTTACGGCGAGAACTGCTTCACCCCCCAGTTAAAAGCATTCTCGTTGCTAGCACAGTCGCGATCTTTGTGCAGTTATGCTACGTTCACGCAGCAAAAGCAGCAAAATCGCGTCTGCTGCTTCATTTTTGCTGCTTGTACCAGTTAGTTCTGACGCGGCTGAAGCAGCTTTGCTGATCTGGCTGCGCGGTGCAAAAGTGTGTCTGACGCGCGTTGGGCGGAGATTCACTATCCTTTCTCTGCCTTGCAGCTATATTTGCTGTGATCAGTGGGAATAAAGTAGTTTTAATATGTGTTTAAGTGAGAAAATACACCTGAAAACGTAATCACTGCAGTCAGTTCATTCAGATTATTATCCTGCCTTCAATATTTTTTCTGTCGGAGCCGCTCAGACCCCCACATACCAGCGGGGCGCCAACAGAAGGAATCCCTTCATCAGCAGCCTCTGGCCGGGTTGCCTCCTCGCGGTTCACCACGGCAGCTGGTAGGTGTTTTTCATCTAAATAATCCAAACTGCATATTCTGCCGGCAGATTTCTGCATTTTAAGTTAATTTAGGCGTCAATAAAAGAGGATTGATCATCAGCGCTGTGTCTCTCTCCCTGCATCAAATGCTTAGCCCGACACCCGACGCGCTGCTTCAGCTGCTCAGACGTGCTGCGCCTGCAGCTCAAAACGCGCCGCTGGACCTTTTGCTGCGCCTTGACGCGCGTCAACCATTGACTTTGCATGTAAACTCGCTGCTTCTGTCGCGCCAGCAACGTCCAGTGTGAACGCAGCATTAGTCATTCGCTGCTAAGCTCAAAACAACCGCGCCTGGCTTGACGGAGAAACCAGGAGAAAAGCTGAGCATATTTACGACAGTGCACTTTTACTTTCGCCCTCTGGGGGGAGCCTCGCTGGAAAATCAACACCGGTTGCATAGTGTACCTTTAACTAAGAATATATATATATATATTTATATTAGGGATGCACGATATAATCGGCCCCCTATCGGTATCGGCCTCTATCGGGCTTAAAACTGAATATCGGACATCACGTGTGTTGCGTTCGGTTCATGCGCTGCTCTATTTTCTCATAGGTGAAGCGTTTACACTCCAGAGCAGAAGGTGGCGATACTGCGACCAAAGCCAACCACCAGTAGTAAACAAGAAGAAGAAGAAGCGAAGCAGCTTAGCCGGGTGTAGCAGAAAAAAATCAGTTGTTGTGGAGAATTGTGTGGGTATGGCGAGTGGGAAAGAACAGGCAGGGCTCGATGTTAACCATTGCCAAACGCTTCGCCTATGAGAAAATGGAGAAGCGCATGAACCGGACACACGCGAACCGAACCGAGAAAGTCGAACCGAACGGTTCAGACGGTTTTCATAAACCGTTCCATCCCTAATATATATATATATATATATATATATATATATATATATATATATATATAAAATTTAAAGTAATCATTGTGTGTAAATATTGCGCATTATATTTCTTAGTTTTTTTTTTATTTTGCTAAACGAACCTTAATATATTTCCCTCAATAACTGCATCGACCAACAGCCTGAACTTTGATGCACTTTTTTAAAGCTTTAATCAAAAATAGGTTAGGGGCCATGTGCATTTTCTTAGTTCACCATTTTAAGTTAGAAAAATGTATATTCCCTGCATTAAAAAGACTTCAGACTTTTTATAAAAGAAAAAAAAAAGTTATTGTGGGAAACAAGAAAGGAAAAACACATTCATCCAGACAACCCTGATCAGAGGATCTCTAAACTAAACCACAATATTTGAAGGTTTGACTCTACACTGCAAAAACGACCTAGAAACAAGTAAACATTTCTTAAATCAAGTGTATTTAACCAAAATCTGAGCAGGTAAATAAGATTATTTATTTACTCTTAAAATAAGATAATTAGTTAATATGTGCTTCTAATGAAACTATACAGTTGCTTTTTTCTTATTTTAAATGTGAATTGTCTTGTTCTATCGGCAAAGTGTCTCATTTAGCTCTTCAATTCAAGACAAAATGCACTTATTTTAAGAACAAAAATGACTTACTTAGATTTTGTTTATTTGCAGTGTACTACACTGGAAAAACGATCTAGAAATAAGTAAACATTCCCTAAATTAAGTGTATTTACACATCATTTCAAAAGCTAAATTGGTTTGCCAATTAAATGAGTATTTTGACTCTTAAAATAACATATTTAGATAATAAGCACTTCAAATAAGACAATGTAATTGTGTTTTCTTATTTTACATGTAAATGTTCTTGTTTCATTGGCAGAGTGTCTCTTTTACCTCCTCAATTCAAGACAAAATGCACTTATTTTAAGAAAAAAGTTACTTATTTAGGTTTGGTTATGAATTGGTACAGCATATTTTTTACTGCCCTTTTCATTCAAATAAACAATTACAAAACAAAATAAATTAACCAATTAGGAAACAATTCCTATTTCAAAAAATGTTTACATAAAAAATAAATTAATTGCTTTACTGACTTCGAGGCTTTCAAATAAAGCCACAATATATGACATTTTAATAAAACTCCCTTTATAAAGGATGCACACAAACTTTAAGGGCAAACAGAAAATAAAAAGTCACTCTGCAAACCTTGTGACCAACAATGTGGGACCAGATGTCAGCTAAACCAAAGCAATAAACAAGCTTTGCATCTGTCCTCTGTCATAAAAATAATATCACATCTGACGGATAAATATGCCTCTTTGTACACAACAGATGTTACTGAAATTGTTTCCTTCAATGGTATATGGAGTTCATATGGTTTATAAGTGGAAACAAGTATTAACAAACATATACAGCAGCTGAAAGAGAAAATAGTCGGTTCGCCTGAGGCTAACAACACTTGTCAAAATAAGCCAACTCGCCTTACTAGCGTCATCCTGAATTACGAAGCATTTCTTAATGACTTTACAGGAGCGGAAAATGTAGTTTTATGACGCAGCTTTGCAAAACGGTTAATAAATAACGTGTTTCTAAATAATCCCTCCGACAAAGCTGGTAAAAAAATGAGCCATCATGCTCACCTTCAGCTAGCGAGCTACATTGAATAGCTTGGGTAGCCAACTGACAGACAGACAGACTGACATACGTAGTAAATGGGACTTACCTTCAGGCGTAAAACGAGATGTTATTCCCTTTGGTTTGTTTTTTTTTTTCATTTGACGTGCGAATGAAGCTAAGTTCCTGTTCAGCTCATGCCTGTTTATCACGGCATGCCGACCTTTTCTGTTAGCCTGTTTGAACTCAAAGCTTTACCGCAACGACAGTTATGTTTCAGGACGACCGCTCGGGGGCGCTGTTTCCCCGCAACAGAACAGCACACATGGGATTTCTGTCCAGAACAAAAACCAAACTAATGTTCTTCTTCTTCTTCTTATGGGGTTTTATGGCGGTTGGCAGGCTTGTGAATTGTGCATTACCGCCACCAACTGATATGGAGTAAAGCAAGAAAACAGAAAACGATTCACCCAAAAAAAAAAAAAAAAAAAAAAAAAAAAATAAAAAAAAAAAAAAAAAAAAAACCTGTGTAACTTAAACCAACATAATACTAAATCACATTTGCCCATATAATTTTAATTTACTCTAGGTCATCTTAACTCTGCCAGTTTCTGATGGTCCCATCGGTCCTCCCATCATACTTCCAACCATCTCCCAGTTCAAATCTTTAATGTCCAGGTATTTTTCTGCAGCCTTCACTATTATTTTGATTTTTTCCGTTTTTTTTGTTGTCTGTGCAGTACAATTAATTACTTCTACCATGAAAAGAACAAAATTTGTCTTTTTAACAATAAGTGAGTCTTCATCAATTTTTTGATTCTCTAGAGGTTTGGAATTTGCCGTGTGTTGAACTGTAGGTTTGGGTTTTTCTGACTGAGATGGGATCCTTTTTGCAGCTTCAGCGTAGGTTATTCCGAGCTCAAATTTCATTTTTTTAATTTCCTCAGACCTTTTGCTTGCTTCACAGCCGCGATAGGCAGCAGTATGTTCTCCACCACAATTACAGCATTTTATTTTAGCTTCTTTTCCACATTTTCCGTACTCATGTTCTCCTGCACACCTTCCACACCTCTGTTTCCCTTTACAAACTGCTGCAATGTGACCGAATTTTTGGCATTTGAAACATCTCAATGGTGGAGGATTGTAGATTTTGACATTATAGCTTATGTAACCGATGAATACTTTGCTTGGTAATTGCTCTTCTTCGAATTTAATTAGCACAGATAAACTGTCAGATCTTTCTCCGTTTCTTGTTGTTTTTAACCGTTTTACTTCTTTTACTTTTGCACCTCTTATGTTTTCCAGAATCTCTTTTTCAGAAATTTTTAGAGGAACTCCTCCAATGACTCCCCTGCTGAACTTTTTGTTCTCCATTAAGCTGCACTGAACTCTTATCCCGTCAATTTTGTTGATCCGTATTGCTTTGCCTTGCTGGGCGCTGTCTCTGCAAATAATTAGCAGGTCTCCACTGTACAGAATTCTGGCACCTCTGACTTCTCCGACAAGTTTATTGATGGTTTTTGTTAAGTGAACCGGATTCCAATTTGTAAAAGAGTCTGCCTGATTAACGACTTTGAATATGACTTTGAATTCATTTTGTTGTGCTGTGGAATGTATGGAATGATCATCACTGGATTGTTCTGAACTAGATTCCCCTTGAACTGATCTCTGTTTTTTCCGCTTTTTCTCATTTTTTGATGTTGCTATCTTCCAACCTTCATTGTCACTATTTCCCTCTTCCATCCCACAAGAATCGCTTCCTGTTTCCTCACTACTCACGGCCCAAGACATTTCTCCATAAGCAGCTTCAAAACACGCGCCATGCACCAAACGACCATCCACCCGCCTCCCCAAACTAATGTTTACTAGTATTTAGTACATTTATATGGAAGGAAGGGGAATAGGGCCGTTAAAAAAAAAGAAAAAAAGAATTGTGAGATAAAAGTCAGAATTCTGAGATTAAAGTCAGAATTCTGACTTTTTTCCCATATTAAACTGAGATATTTAATAATCAATTAACTTTATTTTTTCAACGGCCCTAATCCCCTTCCTTCCGTATAAATGTACTAAATACTACTCTAAACATTAGTTTAGAGTTTTTAATCTCAGAATTCTGACTTTAATCTCAGAAATCTGACTACTTTTTTAGAATCCTGAATCAAGTCTCATAATTCTAACAAAAGGTCAGAATTCTGAATTTAGTCTCAGAATTCTGACTTTTTTCCCATATTAAACTGAAATAATATTTAATAATCAATTAACTTTTTTTTTCAACGGCCCTAATCCCCTTCCTTCCATATAAATGTACCAAATACTACTCTAAACATTAGTTTGGAGTTTTTTAATCTCAGAATTCTGACTTCTTTTTTAGAATTCTGAATTTAGTCATAGAATTCTGACCTTTTTCTTAGAATTCTGAGATTAATCTCAGAATTCTGTCAGAATTCTGAGAAGTTTAAGAGAGATATTTAAGAGATTAATCTCAGAATTCTGACTCTAATGTTAAGAGTTGTTTGGATCCAGTAACGCATTGGTGGAAAAGGACGGGATTATGCAACGTTTCATTTCCGGAGGTGTCCCTCTGTGATGCTATTTCATTAATGGAAGAGCATAAGGTCATTAAAACAAGAGAGCTAGTTTAGTATCTAAAACAGACATGGCTACGGCTTGTTGCTAACATGTTTGTTAGCTGTCAAAAAATTGTCGGAATTCTGAGATTAAAGTCAGAATTCTGAGAAAAAAAGTCAAAATTTTGAGATTAAAGTCAGAATTCTGACATTAAAGTCAGAAATCTGATTTATTTTTTCTCATATTATACTGACATAAAATTTAAAAATCAGTTATGGTAACAAAGGTTAACCATACACATTTGAAAAAGCTATCCCATGTTAGTTTTAAATGTAATTGTCTCACAGTAATTTCATGCATTGGATTAACACAAAAAAATGCATGGTTCTGATGAAACTGTATTCATATTCAACTTGCTCTATTTTGATAAACCTGAATAAAATAAATCTGAACCAATGCCATTTAGATGATTATTGATCGATTAATTGAATTTATTTTTGACTTTATTGTAAAATGTTACCCCATTTAAAAACATCACACCACATTTTCCATTATTCTCTTAGTGATTTACAGAGGTTTTATTTCCCAAAAAGATGGTTTGAAAGTATGTCCCAAAAGTTTTTGGTTTATTTAATCACATGTTCTGTTTGGGAGATTAGAGCAAATAAAGGAAGAAGAAATATCTTCCCTGCTGGTATATGCACAACACAACCAGTACTTGTGCGAGATTGCACTTTTCTCAGTCGTTTCTACCTTTTCTACAATCACACTCTACACACAATTATAATAACATATTCACAATCTTTAAAACTACTTAATTCTCCTGTAAAATCAAACTTTACTTTCAAAACAAAAAGAATTCCTCTCAGGACACGATTTTGCCTACAAATTATAGATAAACCATCAATTGAATAAACATTTCAACACTGACATGCTCAGTGTAAAACTTAATGATGGGTGGAATAAAAAAATCCTGAATTAGACCATTTTCATCGTTAAACGTGCTACAGACGATACATAGGTCATGTAAAATTTCTTACACATTTTTTTCCTTACAATCCCAGAAGAGGCAGTATGTTGTACGTACAACATATTTCATTTTCACCTTCAGATAATGTCACATCCAACCAACACAAAGTTGTACATGGTGCTAGAGTTTGGAAGAAGGTGAGAAGATAAGTGGGAACAGCAGAGAGGATCATGGGGGCTCCTCTTCCGTCCATAAAATACATTTCATCACATCTCTGCGTATCCCAAGTCCATAACATGATCAGCAACCCCTCACATCCCCACCATGGACTGTACTCCCTGCTGCCCTCTGGGAAGAGGCTTTGCAGCATCCGATGCAGGTCCAGCCGATTCTGAATCAGCTTCTTTCACACCGCCATCAGACAGCTGAACTGTTGAAAAAACTCTAAATCATGTCACAGACTCTGCATCAAACCGACCATATCAGTACGTTTTTTTGCACCATGTTTTTTCTCCCACAATGTTAACAACTGATCACCGCTGCACTTTAAGAAAATGGAAATGTCATGTGCTGTACAAAATGAAATAAAGTTTGTCTAAGTCTGTATAATGAGCCTGTGTAATAAGCTCTATGTTTTCAATCTTGGCCTCGGTTGCACTTAAAGAGATTGCTTCACCTTTTTTTTGCTCCAGCTCTGACTGCTGACTGTAAAAGTCTGTTGCAGCTGTTTGTCCTTTTGATGAGTCACCTCTATAGTAAAACAAATTGTCAATATAATTTCAAATTAGTGTGTTTTTAGTAAAAACAAGACATTTTCTTCATGTAAATTCGGTTAAAAGCATGAGAATTGTGTGTCGTGTTCTGAAAAAAACAGAAAAACATCTAGCGTGAAGATTGGGAATTGCTTTTGCAATTCAGCAGATCCGATTTAAAGGGTTGGTGCATGAGTTACATGTGATGGTCATGTGCCTAAAGCACCGGTTTGTGTTACTTAACAGTTAAGAAAAACTGTAAGCTCCCTTAATGTTGCTCTTTGCTGCATCCTTTGAGAAACAACACAAGAAAAATACAAGCATAACAGCCGACCCGCATACAGTACCATGTTTATCAGCCTCACTACAATTAATAGTAGCTGTTAGGTCAAAAAGAAAAGAATTTAAAGGATTTAAAGTGAAGCTAGCATTCTAACATTAGTACAAATATAGCAGCCGATGTATATAACCAAAGAATTAAGTGGATTGTTAATTTAAATGGCTATTTTTCTCTTACAGTACGTCTAAAAAAAATGGGAGCTGGTTTACCATAAAATAAGCCCTTTTTCTTTTTTTTTAGTTTTTACAATATTTCTCACTTAACAAAGCTTTTACTGAAGAATATATGAAGGGTAATCGTTACTATAAAATCATCGTGCATTGCATCGCTGCATTGGATGCAACTTTATATGAAGCAGGCACAAATCTCATTCAGGGGAGCAGAAGCGTCCGGCGAAGAGGATGCTCAGAGTGGGGTTATGGCGGATGAAGAAGAGGAAAGGGTGGTCAGCATAGAAAGATGCTGAATCTGAAAAACCATAGTATATTCCTTCTGCATTGGAAGCAGCAGCAGCCTCAGTTCCCTCCTCGTTGACCTCCACAAAAGCCTTGTGGGACACTTTGGACAGAAAGAGCTCCTTGTTACCAGACATCCCTGTCCAGGATGAGACAAGAAATTCATTTTAATACAAACCATATATGCATTAATGCATAGTAAATATCTGAGAATATTCATTTGTGAGTCCTGTTATGTGACTAAAATCCACCTTAAAGTCGTAGGGAAATCATATTTAAGTTTTAAATCATTCGGCTGAACATGTATCAGACGATTTTGTCCCAAAAGTTAGAAAATGTCTATAAGAAAAAAAAAAAAAAATCCTGTCTTAAAATCTGTGTTTTTTTCCCCCCGTTATTTTTATGCAGGCCAGTTAGTTATACGTCAGCTTGTACACCTAAATTCGGCCAATCATATATCAACGGTCATCTGTCAATCAAATTATTTCGGTAATCGGATCTTGATTGTTGCATATGTTGCAACTAATATACGCGACGGTTGAAATAAGGTTAAAGGAATAGTACACCCAAAACATGATTAGCCTTCATTTTCTACTCACCCCCATGCTGAACAACACTCTGGAGTACTTTTTTGATATCTCAAATGCATCTGGAGATCTGGGAGGCTTCTTGCTGTCTGCTGACATTCAAATCATGGAGGTCCATAGCGCCCGAGGCAGAAAGGTCCATAAAAGTCCACAAAAAACGTGTCAATATTCCACCATACTGCTCGTCCAATGTATTCCAAGTGTCCTGAGTGGGTAGCGTCCATAATTTACTCGAAACGAAGTCATTTAGAATGTTTTTAGAGCATAAACAGTAGTGTATAGGCTTTCCTAAAAGCGCGTTCACGAGCCTACGGAAACCGCGGCAGACCAAACCAGAGGAAAGTGCGCATTCAGCGTCTGCTTTGCCGATAATGCAAGCGTAGAAGAAGAAATGTGCTGTTTACCTGTGCAAAGAAAGAAACAACGAAAGAAAAATGTCTGAGGACTTCAGTGTTGAGGAAGAGCATGAGTTCTTTGCCGAGCTGAATGCGCACTTTCATCTGGTTTGGTCTGCCGCGGTTTCCGTAGACTCGTGAACACGCTTTTAGGAAATCCTATACACTAATGTTTATGCTATAAAACATTCTAAATGACTTTGTTTCGAGTAAATTCTGGATGCTACCCACTCAGGACACTTGGAATACATTGGACGAGCAGTATGGAGGAATATTGACACGTTTTTTGTGGACTTTTATGGACCTTTCTGCCTCGGGCACCATAGACCTCCATTATTTGAATGTCAGCAGACAGCAAGAAGCCTCCCAGATCTCCAGATGCATTTGAGATATCAAAAAAGTACTCCAGAGCGTTGTTCAGCATGGGGGTGAGTAGAAAATGAAGGCTAATCATGTTTTGGGTGTACTATTCCTTTAAGAAAATAATTCATTACTTAACCATTGAGTTCCCTCCCAGTGTTCACCGTGATGGACGTCTGTGTCTTCGGCAGGCATAGAGCTAACAGAACTGCAGTGTTGCGAGGCAAGGGCTCAAACATGTACGGCTGTAAGCCTTCTACACCAAACCAAGCTTCTGCCGCCCTGGCGTCCTCTTCCACAACCGTTTCGCCCCCGCTTTCCTCCTCTAAATAGAAATATATGATGAAGGAGACTCATCCACGACCTCTGACACTAAACTCTCCTCCTCTTGCATGTTTCCGCTGACCATAGCTTTCCTTGACAGTGTCGTTTCTAAGTCACCAATTTAGTGCCGCTTGGTCCCAATGGAATTTCCCATTGGGAACCTACTAGCACTAAGTTGCTAACTGGTCGCCAAGATGCTCCAGATAAACCCGTCACAATTAAACTTGCTTGCAAACCTTCAGCCACAACAACCCCGACCCCTTGATAAACGACCAATCACATTCTCTTTACTCACTCCTGTAAATTCGGGCACCACTCAAGAGAATTGGTTGGAACAGCCCATTCCCTACGACTTTAAATAATTTAAATCATAGCTTGTCCTTAAACAACAGACAACATGTTACATAAATCAAAAATATGGCAGAGGTCATTGCTTCAGCACCTCTGCACGATTCGTTATTCTAACAGTCAACCAAACTACATCTGTATCATCTTTCCTGCCGCACGTCTCACCAGAGAAGTCACATTTTGTCTCATCAAAAGCATCCACCATGCCCATGCGGCTGAGGACTTTGTCCAGATCATAATTCTCCTCCACCTTGAATCGAGGCAGCCATACTCTGATCTTGCGGCGTCTCATCTTGCTTGGATGAGTCCACTTGTTGAGTTTCTCATAAGTCAGATGTTCCTCCAGCTTGATGGATGAAATGTCGATCATCAGATGTTTCAGCCTAGATATTGAGTTTTACCAATCTGTGAGAATAAGAGTCCTACCTGCTCCAGACCTGTTGTATTGTCTGTTATATCTTTAGGTAAAAGTATGATCATGCTCATCTCCTCCCCTCTGTAAGGCATCTCCAGGATCTGCATAGCAAGTTTTAGACATTAAATAAAACAAACGACACAGAAACAAATAGGGTATTTTTGTTGTAATTTTATTGAGTCTATTTTAAAAGATAGATGAAATCATTAAAGAATAAAACACTTGGGGCGGACTGATTACATGGTTCCTCACCTTACAGCTGACTTCAGAAATGAAGTTAAAATGGAATTTGGATTCCTGTGTCATCATTTCCACGGGTTTCGTTGTTCTCTGAAAAAGAAACAGAAAAAAATTTGATCGATTTTAGCCCTTTTTAAATTTTAATGATCAAGGTAAGACAAGGCAAGTTTACCTGGTCTCTGTTCAGTTTTTTGGCTGAGTAACTGAACTGGCTGAAATCACTGTTGTTCTATCAGATCAACATACCCGTCAGACCAGCATACGCATAGTTAATATGCATGGGCAACACATCAGGTTTGCATATGCGTATGCTAGTCCCGTCTATCCCTTAGTTTATCCCAATTTATCCCTTTAGTTTATGACCGTTCATCCCTTTAGTCATGTAACTGTCAGGAAGTCTGTCTGTATATGTGTTTTTTCTGTGTTTGTCTCGTTTCCTCCACCAGGAGGAGCCTGGGGCCTCTTAAACTGCTGACTGTCACTACCTCAACGCCACACTGTTTGCCAGTTTTGGGTACTCTAGCCAAGCTGAGTTTTGCTGAGTCAAACTGAGTTCTTGTCAACCTAAGTTTTAATCTTGTTTTTTTTTCTGTCTTTGCCTCTGGGCAGGAAGTCATCCTGCAAACTGGATTTTTCAGACCTTCTCTCCCTGGAAGGATCATCTGAGCTTCAAGCTGAGTTGAGGATTTAAATTGGAGGTTTGAATCAACTTTTCCTCCAGAGATCGTTTGAGCTTCACACTGATCAAGGGATTAATCTCCACTACGACCCGTTCAAGTATTGCAGGAAATCTGAGTGGCAGTCAGCTTCTCTGTTCACCTACAAACAACCGCATTCTGGGTAAACCCTGTCTGCCCTCCACCGAATCAGACAAACACTGGAACTACCGCACACAGACTGGAATCAAAGAGTCAACAACTTCTCTGGAAATGTGAGTCAGCAATCTATTTCTCCTCTTCAATTTCGAGAATCAAATTTCCCAATGAGCCTGAACTTCCCCTTACCTTTCAGTTCCGGTTGAGCAGTGTTCAGAGCAACACTGGATTCTTCACAATCCCCTAAATAAACCTGTTAAACTTTTTTCCTGGTCTTCTGTTTTGGTTTACCTGCTTTTTGGGTCAGATCTTAGTTAAAACCATGACAGAAACAAAAAAAGCTATTTGAGGTCAGACCGCCATACTCTTCAAAAAACACCATAAAGTAAGTAATTAAACTGTTTCTTTGTACATGACTAAAGGGATACACGCCTGTTGAGGTAGTTTATAGTGTAGTTTTCGTATAAAACTAAAGGGATAAATAGGTATTTACCATGGGTCTTGCAGAGTCATATTATTTTCAACACATTGACCTCTATATTCACTTTATCGATGGATTTTTATTTCCAAAAGAGATATTTTAAAAGTCCTTTATAGTGAAGGCAGACATTCTGTTTAATTGGTTAAAAATCGAGTCATTCTTCTCTTTTGGTTTGATTAAACAAAAACTAAATAAGATGGAGAAATCCGTTAAAAAAATGTAAAATTATTTAAATTCTTAGCAGTTGCTAATATTAGTTTGGTCCAACTTTTTTGTAGTTCTGGTAATGAGATAAAAGTTAAGAGGCAAAAAATGCAAGGAGACACGAAGGTGAATCAGTAAAATAAAACAGAAAAGATAAGCTCAGTAAATGATTCATTTGAATCTAATTGACAAAATCCAAATGTCTAAAACAATGCTTAATGTTTGTGCTCAGGTTTACCTTGTTCAGTCTAAACTCTCTGGTAGAAGTGTCGTCTCTGAGAAATTGCTTATGCCAGTAACCTTTGAAGTATAAAGCATTTACCAGGATAATCCTGGCGTTGTTGTCCACAATGTTTTGAGGAACCACATCCTTGATTTTACCTGGTAACAAAATGGATCAGATGAGAAAAAACACAATAGAGGCTGCAGTTTCTAACATCACAGTATCAAGCCTCTGTCACACGTTGATGATTTAGACCAGCATATGCCTGACGTACCCAAAATCTGGCAAAAATGCTGGCATACGTTGGATAAGTTATGTACATGTTTTGTATAAGTTATGAGCACGCCAAAGTACGCTGGAACACGCTGGCACACGTGGACATACGACAAGTACGAGCTTTGATGCTCAAACATGGGCCATAAGTTACAGGTAAGTTATCTGATTGTTGACATAAGTTAAGTGTAAGTTACTCATAAGTCGTGGTTCTAGCTTAGCCAAAACCTCGCTGTTCCGGGAACCCCTATGGATGGGGGCGGGGAGCCAGCGGGGGACGGAGCGACAAAAACCCGACCCAGTGACAGTATGCTTCCTCCCACCTGCCTTACCTTGCTTCCCCCCGCCTACTGAAGACTGAAGTATCCTCCTTTTCAGAAACCCAAATCTGGTCACCCTAAGTTACTATATAATGGTGTATTGGAAGCAGTTTGGTACAAAAGTTGGTTCACAGAAGGAAACTGTCATTTTTCCACTGGAACACATCCCAGTCATACGGTCAGAGAGAAGGTGAGAGTGATGGACCCTCCCTGCGTTCTCGCCCGCAGACATTATCAACATACTGCCTAGCAGACGTGACGCAGAATCTGGTGGGACTGTAAACCCTCTTTTTTTCTTTTTCTTTAATTATGTATTCTTCTTTTGGGCGGGCGCTAAACAGCAGCTAGGTTAATACTGCGATCAAGGACATATTTTTACGCAGACCAGGCACATTGCTGCCCCCCTCAGGACACTGGCTTGTGCATCATTTCATTGGCATTACGCTGCCATGCGTTATGCATAAGTTAGGCTGTTGTTGGAATGATGTCGTTATGAATACACTATATTTACGCCCAAAATTGAAAAAATACATAGAAAGCGTATGCCAGAGTTTTGGGAGATTCAGGGACGTCAGGGTTTGACAGGGCCCCCACAGTGATCCACCAGATGGAGCTCATCCTCTTTAGGCTTCTTTATCATCATTGTGTGAGATGGGTGGGGTCATGCAATGAACTGATGGTGTTGCATGATCCACCTTTTGTCTGCTCCTCTACCCAGCTGTTGATCTTGACCCTGGCTTCCTCAAAGCTGGTTCTGAAATCTACAGACTCCATCTCTGAGTTATAGTAAGACCTGGTTTCGGTTAAAAACTCCTGAAAGCACAAACAACACATCTACGACTTCCTCCTGAAATAGTTATTTACTATGTGTCCATGCTGAACATTAACACTCCCTCACCTGCAGAAAGCTGTAGGACTGATCTCCATACAATCTGTTGGCAACACTGAGATCAAATGGAGCTCCTGGCTGGTTGAGCTTTCCCAGCAGCTTGGAAAACAGATTGTGTACATCATTCTGACAATCCTGGATTTCCAAACACTGAGGACAAAGAAGACCAGAGCTAGTGAATAGACGCCCAATAAAGAGAGAAGAAATCAGAGTAAAATACCTGAAAAAAGAAGATAGAATAGGGAAACACTTAACTACAGAAATGTACAAAAGTTAAATGCTGTGTTCTACATACAACCTCTGATATCTGAGAGGCTGTGTTGCCTCTGGCTCCCATCATCAACATAGCCAGAGCTGCAGAGATGCTGAAAGGAGAGAAGAAGATATTTGCAGTGCTGTTGTCCTCACTCAGCTTCCTGAGCAGAGCCAAAGAGAAGGTGGTGTTGGCCTTGGATAGAGGGCTGGTGGAAGCATTTTTGCCTGAATTGAAGAGATATTAGGGTTATAATCACTGTTTATCCTTATCAACATGCACTAATCATCAGTTGCTTCATCAAGACTGCATAGTGCAATGACAGCAACAATACTGCATAATAGCCCTGTATTCAAGGCTCCATATGGATGGTACCAGACAACTATTTTAACTCCTAGCCTACAGATTGCATAAACCACAGAAAGATTTCTATTGCACCACCTTTTTAAAAAAAAGACAAGCATATGCATTGCTTTTGTTGGTACTGCAGGGTTCTTGAATTTATACACCGCATCTTTTGGGTTAAATGTCTGTCCTTGTAAATGGAAAGAGTTCTTTTCTTTTAATCATTTTTAGTGGATGTTTTCACCTTGTCTGAAAATACCCTACTGTAAAAAGAAAACATCAATAACTTGACCCTGTCTGAATTTGATTTTTTTTTTATGTCACAACCAGAAATGTAATTGTATTTTATGTCATAAACTGAAATGAGTATAACTGTATTTTTAATAGAGATAACCCGATGTGATACATGGATCGGATACCGGATAGCGATATTGACTAATTAGCCGGATTGGATATTGGTAATTTGATATCAGATCGCTGAGATCCAATCCAGTGTACTTTACATGGAATTGTTATTTAGTTCGGCTTCTCTAAAGTCCCCCTAGGTGTGAGTGTGTGTGTGAATGGTTGTTTGTCCTGTTTGTCACTGATTTGCCCTGCGATGGACTGGCAACCTGTCCAGGGTGTACCCCGTCTCTCGCCCAATGACTGCTGGAGATAAGCACCAGCACCCTAGCCTGGGTGCCATTCCGAACTTAGTCCCGCCCTCAACGTTTGAGGTCGGGAAGTTCGGTCTGGCATTGCTCCATAGTAGCGCGAGTATTATCGCACAATATCTGGCGGGCAAATCAAATTGTCAGGGCGGGCTTTAAACGATGATGGACAGATGATCAACAGTAACGTAATCAACCACGTGACCAAAGTGCGCTTGGGTGACAACGACAATGGCTGCCGCTGGAGAGTTGAGGTGAGTAGATTCTGCTATTAGGTCTGTTCTAGAAGATATTGACATCAAATAAATTTTAAAAGAGGAACAGAGAAACGCTATCAAGGCTCATCTTCTTATTCTAGGCGTGCAACTGCACGCTTTGATTTTTGTTGACAACAACTATGCATCACTTAACATACGTCACGCACTCCGTTGCTCTTATTGGTTGTAGGTCTATCCAATTGAGTGCAGAGGCATTTTTTTTCCTGGTTCGTTCAAAACACGCCCCATAATCACAGCTCTATGGAGCAGTATCAGACTCATATTCTGACTAGAATTGAGTAGGACTACGACAGGCTACCAACACCCCTCGCGACCCCACTTGGGATAAGCATGTAAGAAAATGGATGGATGGATGGATGGATGTTATTTCGTTTTTTTTTTTTGCTGCTTATTTCCTAACAAATAATGTAAAGCACATTTATATCTGGGTTAATGTTTATCCTTTTATTAACAATGTTTATGTCAAGGTTAAAGCCTTCATCAATAAGGCAAGACATATGGTTCATTTAGGCAACACCTGAATTGAATGGGTATCAGATATCGTCCCATATGTTCAGCCCAAGTATCAGATTGGATCAGCCAAAACTGTCTCAGTGCATCTGACGTCAATTGCGTCAACCATTAAACCAAAACTAAGTAACTATAAAATGTTTTCATAACTTCTGTGGGTGTATGTCAACTTATATCTAGTTGAATGACACCTCTGTTATGGTCCAAGGAGATCTGTATTGCTTTCACTGGCACTAAGTAACTTCTAGGGGGGAGCAGTAATCCTGACACGAAAAACAACTACAACTGTGCAGACTTTACGACATATGTCGTGCTTTATGCCATACGTCACTTCCGCCTTTCCTAATTGGTTATAAAGACGGAAGTATATGCGACTAAGTTTTGCTAAGAGACTGTTGCTGCGTCTGAACGTCCGCCCTAACACCTAAATCCCTCAATCACTATATAGAGCGGGGACTATATAGTGAACTCTGTTAACTGATCGTTAACAGATGAACACGATTTTTACCTTTCTTTGGTCATGTGACTCCGCCTCCCCGCGTGATGCCTACGCCATCTTGGTTATTTGTCCCAGCTGTATGGTAGTGACAGCTGTAGGTGACAGCAGGCTGTGTGACAAGAAATCACAAGATGGTTTGCAACGAGAGCTCTCCTCGCAAAGAATTCTGGGATATATCTGCTCATCTAGTGACCATAAATGATCGCTACTTTCAATGTGCATTGTGGGAAATTTCAAGTGAATTTATCCACTAGACATTCGGAAACTGATCTAAAATGACTTAACCACTATGTACAGTAGTGTCCCATATAGTGATCAGGGAGGACATTCGGACACAGCTTGTATATTTTTGCAAATTGTGCAGGGTTAATATTCAGGCAACGTGGCGCCTTCCTGATGGGATCCTTACGTATGTTTACTGTGAAATTGTCAATCATAACATTATATTTATCTGTTTCAAGGCCCTATACTCGTTAGCATATCAGTCACTGGTGAGGCAGTGGTGCAGGAATATGGTACAAAACCAAAGTAAAACATTTCTTATTTTCAACTTTTTGACACTGTTTCGCCACAATCATCGCTTTTCATCTTTGACAGTTACTGGAAACACAAATGTAGTTCAAACCAACTGCAGGTGATGGGAAATCAGGACTATACCATGGTAAGGTCTTTACCATGCTGCTGTTTATGGGAAATGGTGCCTTCCTTCAGGCAAAACAATACCCCCTTTGTCCACTGGGGGGAGCTACTAGTACTGCTATAAGTTGATGTCAGAAATGTTTGTTGGTTAAGCTCTTTTTAGAAATTGACTGCAATGAGATAAAATTGCTTGGAAACTGCCAAATATATCTGACATTTTATGGACGAATCCAGAGTGGAATGAATGCAATGAAAATACATAATGAATAAATGAATGAATAATTAATTTTTATAAAGCTTTTTAGTTCTTTTCTTCAATAATATATTTGAGCTGATATTAAAAGTATTTGGATATTAATGAAATTATGGATAACTTTTGGTTTCTCTCTAAAATCTGATACAACTACACTAAATATTATCAAACAACTATCATATTTGGACATACTTTAACCCCCCCTATTTGATTCTCACAAAAGGAGTTTTTCAGTTCCTAGACATATTATTTGTTTTCATAAGATAAGATGTGACAGTGAGAAAACAGGGTGGACCTTGGCCATGCTGTGGACATGTTGTAAATGTCACTAAATTACCTCATAAATGCAAAGGAAGGTGCCTAAGCAAATTCTCAGCCATTCTGGGTCATGACAACCACATTGCAGGCTTAAACTGGAGAATACTGACATTTGCTCAGTTTTCTTGAAAACTCTTTGACTCCTATCAAGAGTCTTTGTTAATCCTGGGGGCTCACACATAATCCCCATTTACACTACCCTTTTGAAACCATGCAGAGATCGGTCCAAAGATGATAACCGGGATAACTGTTGAGGGTAAATGGTATGCAGAACTGAACCAGACTGCGTACCATCTAAGTGTCAGAGAGGAACATAGACAAGACATGGTTCCAGGATAAATGCCTAACTTTAAACTGGTCTCCTCCTAGGAGCCAGGCTTATGGGAATTAAAACTGACCTGCCTGCGATCTGAGCCTAAACCCTTAGGGCTCAGCGGAGAAGAACCGGGACATGACCAAGAGACAGGAGACAAACATTAAACCCTCTCAATCCCCTGGACTTCCAATGCCAGGTCATGAACCAGAAACTTAACTAAAACTTGTGAAACAAACATGAATAACTAACACAAATAAACTAAGAATACACAAATAATGATCTTGACCCGATAGCTGTGCTCAACTCTATATATAGAAAAGCAAGCAGGTGAAAAAGATAAATGATGATTAGAGAGTGGGGAGGCTACGGCAGGTGAATGAAGTGAGTAATCAGAGAGGCTATCTGGCTGAGATCATGACACTAGAAGTGTATATATATATTCACTTAAAAGGTAGAGTGGATTAATCAGGTGTGGAGCCACTTCATGAAGGATGTAACAGCTGTTGGATGCAGCAACTGGAGTGTTAAAGGGGAAGACCTTTTTTTTTTTTACATTGGCCCCTTGATTTTACGTTATTACATCATGTTCTACTCACCCATATTAGTTTTGTGTCATTTGGAGCTGTTCCGAAGATATTCCGTTAGATTATATCCAAGTAACGTCTTCCTTTGGGCAACGAGTTGAAGGCACAAACTAAACTGTTCATAATTTATTTTTTATGGTACGCCAGCATTCATAACATGTAGGCGAATCACTGTCCCCCAGACATCCGCGGTTATATTTTTTATATTTATATTTTTTTTAAACAAAGCCGTGTGTATGACGTCATCCGTGTGCGCCGAATGTACGAAATTATCCAGCCCCCTTTTCAGCTTTTTATTTCTAAAAAAAGATTTAAATATCACATAAATATTACTCCACTTCCTGATTGTATCCCACTTGTTGAATTTTCACAAAGAAAATATAATTTTATATCTGATATCTGAAGCCTGAAATCTGGCAAAAGTTATATAATATAATATATACAATTGAGATTGAGAATATAATTGAGATGTTGGGGAGTGACTAATTTAGAAGATTACAGTGGGTCAAAATTCATCCATTAAAATAACAAATGTTTGAAATAAAAGATTTTGTTAGTGTAGTGATTAATTCACCCTAAAAGATTAATATCTGTTTTATCTTACCGTACTCTTTATTGTGTATCTTTGAGGCACGGCTGCCTGAGTCCTGCAGGCTGCTCTGTTTCTCTTTTATCTCTCTATGGACATGCAGTGTTGACATAACTACTTATTTATTGCCTTGTAAAACATCTGTGCTTATACTAGATGAAGGAAGACCATGTGAATTCCCGTTATTACCTTATTTGGAAAATTAATAGTTGGGGTGTGTGTGCAGAAAGCTGTGGCTTTAGAGCCAGCTGGTGTGTTTGCTGTGAGGTTCAGCCTTCTGTTGCTTGAACTGCTTAGTTCAAGGTTTAAGGTTTTTTAAGAGGTAGGGGGTTTCCTACCTCTGGGTAGTAAAGTGGCTTAATTATCTACTGGACTACTCTTGTCGTAATCCAGTACAGTGTTAAAACGTTCTCTGTATTGTGTGATTATAATCAATAATTTTGTTATATTAAATTGGAATAAGTCTGTTAATACTTCATATCATTTTCACTTTTTGGTGGGAAAAAAAAGAACTTTGGTGAATTTTAACAACCCATAATTTTACTTTCTGGGAAATACAACTGGATATTACTTCTCTGTGGACTTTTACAGACGAAATCAGCCCATTTATGACCGGATAGTTATTTTTTTGAATGCCATGAAACGAAAACCAGGAATGAAGGGAAAATCATGACTTCTAATGTGATGACAGATTGTTATTGGGTATGGTGTAAAGTTGGTTTATGATTGAGCTGGGCTCTTTGGGATTACCTGATTCTAAAGAGATGCAATATGTTGTACAAATACCAAAAAAAAAAAAAAGGAGCTAAAAAGCATCAAGTATCACTTAGTTGATCTTGATATCTATCAACATACTCTATCTCCTTTAATGATAGGAGTAAAATTGGTAGAAAATAAAGAAACCAAATTAAGTTACTGTTCAATTTCTTTATAAGCAAGACTGATTAAAGGTATAGTGCAGGATTTTCGCGATTTCTTGAAAAGATTCGCCCTCTCCACTTGAAAAAAAAAAAATGCACATGAAGAACCCTGTACACGCTCCCGAGAGAGAACGTCTATTAAACGTGTGCGAGAGCGTGCACAAAGCCATTTCTCCTTGTGCACGCTCTGTTTAAAAGCTGCTGTTTGCATCGCTTATACAAACTTACTTTCCAAAAGAATATTAGCAATTTTTCCAAAATGTCAGACTCACCATCGGTGAGTGAAAATGGGGACAAGCATGTAGGATGGCCTTACATAAACATATCGCCAGAATGATTGTCAATTAGGAGGGCCACTTAATTTGATGATCAACCCAGAAAAATAACATCCTTCACTACACCTTTAAGGATAGTTTTTGTGAGCTAAAGAACAAACATGGTCACACCGGATGAACATTTCTGTTGAATAAAAATATTTGTCCATTACTCAAGCTATTAACAGCAACACCAAAGTAAAATAATTGCACATATTTTTTTCTTTAAGTAATATTGTTGAAAAAGACTAAGAGTTCATGGGTTAATAGCTGTTCTTATATTATTTCATCATAACATCAGCTATAACTATTTCTGAAATGAAAAAATTCCCAGATGTTTTTGGACAGGAGGCTCCTTTTAGTGAAGCTTAAAATTAAGGCCGTAGGTTTGATTTCAACTTTGGTAGGGATGCTATTGGTCCTAAGCTTCATTATTCAGACATCATTTGTTCTTCTCATTATGCATCCTACTGAATACCTGATTCCACATTACTCAAAAGTTCATTTCTGCTTGCAGAAATGTCATCATTGATATCTGTGTAACAACTTTGACTAGAAATATTGTAGTTGTGACTAGGTAGAATGCCTTAGCGCTATCTATAATAGAAATGTGGCTAGCCAGCCTGCCTATCTCATGTAAAAATGAAGCCCCTTTATTAGTAGGAATTTTAAAATATCTGAAGTACTCATTTTATACAGAAAGAAATGTATTGAGATATCTGAAATACACATTCAATCAGGCTATTAAATGTTAAAATGGCCTGTCCAACTCATGCTCCTATTTTCTAAAGCTTGACTTAAGCATCAGGCACATTTAGTCTAGTCAAAAGAGAAAATCAGCATTTCTTGTTACATTTTTTTTTGTCATGGCTCAGAACAGAGCACCCAGCATTCAGACAGACAGTAAGATATTTCAAAGGGTGTTCATTTAAAAAAGATGGATTTGCAGAGGGCAGCGAGGGCATCTAAGGCAGGAACCTCTAGTCTTAAATTCAGTCCGTGCCCAGAGGACGAGGTTGATTCCAGCCGCTCGGCTCCCACCGAGATGCGACAGGCGCCTGCCAGAGCATCCCTGAGGCTGTAGCCCCGGAGGTCGAAGGACAAGCAGAAGCTCAGAACCGAGCAGAGGAAGGAAGGCAGGGCAATCCAACATGCGAAGCCAAAGCCGGTGTGGAAGAATTTCACAGGAGTCTGGCCCAGAAGATCAGAGATACGAAGAGGTACCAAAGGGAAATTCAGGACAGTGTCAGGTGAATGGAATGAGAAATCAAGCCACTCATTAGCACCAAGATCATGACAGAAAATATTCTATGAGGGTTGAAAAGTTATTTAGTGATGGTTTGAAGTGACATTTATATCAAAGATACGTCTATCTCTTCCCCAACTCTTCTTATTATCTTTTGTGACCAAAAGATTTATTTTAAATATGTGAAGGACTATGAGCATAAAGCCTGCTGGAAAATGAAAGAGGATTGGATTTATTCCAAGAATAAAATAATTAGCTGTCACAGAGGTAGCAAGCTTTTTGAAATTATTGTTGACTTACTAAACATAATGATATATTGTCATGTTTAACCATTTAAGTAACAAGTCTGATTTCAAAAAATGTTACACAACATGCAATGTTTGAAGAAGAAAAAAAAAAGTTTCTTGCTCCTTGCTGCTGGTTTACTAAAAATCGTGACGCTCACGTTCAGCTCTGCTCAGCATCAAGACCTGTCGGAACATCTGCATGCGTATGCTCATGTTGCGTTCAATGGTGGCTCGGAAAAAGAATCAGTCACTGTAAACTAATAATGGGTTTAAATATTTTTAGGGTTGAGAAAAGGTTCGGCGAACAGAAGGAACAAATATGGAGGGTGCGGGAGACATGTCCTAATTCCCGCATATGTTACTCCCCTGGCTTTAGGTAATCTGTCCATTTCGTGTAATTTATCTCTACTTTCCTAACAAATTTCTTACATCATAGGCTACAACATAAAAGTGAATTCGAATCATGCATTAAATAGTGTATTTTACTTTATCTAAACATTACTAAAGTCATAATTTACGGAACACTACTTGTAAAAGTTCTTTTAAAATGTAAATTTGTTTTCTGAAATGATAATTTGTTTTGGAACTTATACAAGTTTTTTTTTAAATGTTAATTTGTTTTCTGAAATGATAATTTGTTTTGGAACTTGTAAAAGTTTTTTTGATTTTGTAATGTTGGTCTGCACCTCCCGGCCATCTTACCCTTCGGCTGTTAGAGGGAGAGGAAACACAGGGCTGACGGAGCAGTAGCAGCAACAGCCAGTCAGCTGCAAGAGGAAAACAAGCGACTTTTCCCACAGCCTTATTTTGTGAGTTATAAACATGTTATCTGCAGGTTACATCGTCTCATTGGTAGGGACAAATAGGTCGGTCCAAAGTTTTGGTAGGAACATATCCTTCTGCAAACCTAAGCTTAAAATTTATCTGTAAAGTTTCCCCTTTTGCAAAACTATCAAAATCATACCTTTTCCTTCATGATATTCGTTCCCTTTTTCCACGTAGGAGTTTCTTCCCGGATTCCTTCGGAAGGGAGCACAGAAAAGTGAGCTCATCCTGTCTGCCAGAAGCTGAAACACATGGGAAATAAAAGACGCTGAATGTTTTACAGTAGCAGCTATCAGAGGGGGTCCTCTGCTCTCTGCAGTGGGCGTTTCCTTCCGTCATCCAGCTGCAAAATAATCATTTAGACCAGCTGGTTTCACGAATAATAATAATTGTTTCAAATAATAACTACGTTTTAATGAAAATATTCATTAAAACATAATGTATGCATCAATCTGTACAACACCTCCCTCAGAAAGTCATGCCCCCCCCCCCCCCGCCCCCAGACTACAGAATTATTAACAAATTTGACATTTATTAATTATTTTGTCTCTTTTGCACATTGCTATATGTATATATATATATATATATATATTTTTTTTTTTTTTTTTTTTTTTTTTTGTTCTTTTGTTTTCAGTGTGGAAAGCTGTATTGTATTTCTTTGTGTTGTATTTTATTCCTTTAGATGAAAATCCCCTTTTTAATAATATAATAAATCACTTGTCTATTTATCAGTATAATGGTTATTGGTGTCAGCAGAACCGTTTAGTGCACATAGACAGTTTTACTGCGGTTAGGATAGTGATTAGGGCAGATATTCGGACATAGCCATGGACTTCAAAGTCCTTTTCAAAATGATGGTTGCCAGGGGCAACGTATAGAGAATTGCCCATAAAAACAAATCAAGATTTATCTGAAATTAATGCATATAGAGAAGGAATATACATTCTGACAAAAAAGTGATGTCTTTGTTTTGCTAGTTTATTTAAAATGTAATGTTAATTGTAAAGGACCAGATTTAAATAAGATTAAATAAAAATATAATTTAAATAAATAAAATATTAATTAAATTAATTGAATTATGTAAATAAAAAAAGTAAACAAGGGATCAAAAGGCAACACAAAATAGATTAAATTATAAATAACATGGTTTTGGGCCCAACTCAACTGAGGTGAACTGACCTACTGACAAAGAACAGAAGCTGCTTAAATAGGTGTGGAATAACCTAAACTTACCACATGAGGGAGGCACAATATAACAGAGAAACAGCAAATAAAAAAATCCATACAAAACTAAAACATTAAACAAATGAAACTGTCAGGGTTTGATTGTGGTTTGAGGAGCCAAATGCAGAGGCAGGGAGGCAGAGGCAAGTTTCTTGTAGATTTAATGAGAGTTTAACAGACAACTGAGGCAGAATCAAAATCAAACAAGACAAAAGTAAAACAAACCAGAAAGCATGGAGACTTCAGGGGAAAACAATCAGGACAAGGAAGACACAGTAAGACGAAGTTGGAGGAAGTTAGATGAGGAACCAGCACTGAGGAACTGCACAAGGAGAGTATTTATAGCTAACTGAACAAAGAGAGAACTAACGAGCAGATTGGGAGCAGGTGTGAAGAGAGCAGTCTAAGGAGCTAGGGAAAACGGAGATCAACACAAGAGGGCAGCAGAGGGCAACAAATAACCTGAAAACTGAACTATAACCAGAAAACAACAAAATTAGAATTAAAACAATAACACTAGAAAACGTGGAGCAAAGTTAAACTGAATACTCAAAAGAAAACATAACAACCAGGACTGTGACAGAAACAAATAATACGTTAATATTAAGGTGACAAAATCTATGAATAGATGTCAACTTAAACAAACACCCCCTCTTTGGGAAAATGGTTTGGTCCTGGATTCCACCTCCAGCTGATCTGCGTTTGTGTTTGCCTGTGTGAGTTAAACCATTCAGATATATTAACCACCCATTTGAAAATACACATCTAAAATAAACAAACCAAACTAAACCTGGAAATGAATATTAACTAAGAAAACTACGCAACAACTTTGTGGTGGCGGTAGAAGGATCCTCCACATTCATACTTCCAGATTATACAGCCCTGTTGATCAAACATCCACATGTGCATGGAATAGTTTGTTCCTCCTTTTACAAACATAGATGCCCTACAGTAGATCAGGGGTCTGCAACCTTTAATCCAGAGAGCCACTTTGCCCTGAGTCCAGCTAAGTAAAAGCCATTTAGAACCACAAAAGATTTCATGACTTTAAAAAAAAACACAGCATATTTTTATTAAAGGTTTTCCATAGAATTCTGATACCATCTTGAACAACCAACAGCTTATTTGTATTTTTAGGTTTTAAAGAAAGAGAAAACATCAAATGATATAGAATCACATGGATATTCTTCTATAGGGTATATTTTGATATCAAACAATTATAATAAAATACATAATTCACAAGCTAATAAAAATAGCTCTAAAAACAAAATTTTGGTGATTTTAACGTCATTCTGTGATAAGAATTCAATTCAAATAGTCTTTATTTGAAGTACAAAAGCTTCTAAGACTGCTATTTATCATTATAGTACATTCATTCATTAGTTATTTATATAACTTTTAGCCACTATAAAAAGCTTTAAATGGTCCATTGATCCAGATGTGGCTCTAGAATCGAAGTTGCAGACCCCTGCGCTTGAAGTTAAGAACCATGGCTATGACCATGCTTCATATAAAAATCTGGTTTTCAAAAAAAGAAAGGAAAAATAGAAAGATGACAACAGGTGTCAATCTTTATCTGAAGATGGGTAGACACTAATGGGTGTCCATTAAGTTTCTGACTCAATGTCCAGTGAAATAAGATAGCCAACTTAACTAAAGAGAAGCACAGCTCTACATTTATACAACATTTCATCAAAGCGAAATATGTAGCAAAATATTCATATTACATTTTTACCATGTCTCTTTTCCTAAACGTAGTAACAGAGGAGTCAAATCAGCAACATCCCAGACTTCCCATACCAGCATAACTCCTCTGCTGTGTCCTAGTTAATTTAAGCAGCACTGTGTTCATTGACAGGACAGTTAGCATTACTGTAGGTAGTCTAAGTGGACTGCATGTCAAATTTACTATCAACAGAAGCATTTTACTTCTACTAGATTTAACAACAGGAAGTAAATCATGTTGAGCCTATATCACATAAATCTTTTGATGGGTCAGTTACATGTCGGGATAGAAGCTGCTGACTGGTGGGTCTAATTTCATATCTTTGAGTCCCAACATTCTCAGGTTGTTGTCCTGCAACTTTTACTTCTGTTTCCACTTAAGCATGTATGAATAAGATCATAAGCTCTTTTGCAGAACTTAATTCTAAGTGCGCTTGCAGGCTTCTATCCTGTATATAGTTCATCTGGAGTTCAACCTAAACATACAGGAAGTTGATGTCATGAGATGAGAACAAATGTCTGGCGGCTTTTAGGGGGTAAATCTTAATACGATATGAGCATCCCGTGGTTTGTGCTGATTAAGAAACTTATAATAATGTTATTGTAATATCCTGTTCGATAATGAGAAAAAGATACAGGAAGACACATGTAGAATTGTCCATATAGGGGCTTTGTTCATTCGTTCATAAAAGGAATGTAAACATTGCATATAAGAGTCTGGGACTCCATGATTAACTGTTGCTCTGATCTTTTATATTATCCAATCCTCTGTCTGTTTCTCATTGGAGAATGAATCCATGGACTATCATAAAGATTTGGAATAAACAATACTAAAGGAGAAAAACAGAGCAGTGAGGAAAACCTCTCTGGATTTTCACAGTTATCCAAATCTGCTACCCAACGCTTTATTGTTATGTTGAGTCCATAATTAAATGTTGAGAAATCTGGCTCAAAAAGAAATGGCCATGGGAAAAGACAAATTAATACCCTTCTAGGACATCCTTGAAAATAAAAATGTATATATAAAATGTAAGGTATTTTAGACCTTAGATGAAAAAACTTGAAAAAAGATATAGAAATAATATGTGCATGACAATTTAGCATGTATTTATTTATTTCAAACCATAAGCCCCTTGAAATAAAGCATCTGGTTTTCAAGGAGATCCTAAGACAAAGGAAAAGCAACAAACAAATGAGATGCAGCAGCACATGTATGACAAAAGCTTGTATATAAAGTGGCGGGCATAGATACATCTTTTAAATCTAGATTTATTTCACTGTAATCTTGGAATTAATCTAGATTAAAATAGCTCTTTGAATTTTGCCAAAGAATCAGAATCAGTATTAATTTATTAATCCCTTAATAAAGGGAAATTTTTGTCTTGCAGTGCACCCGTTTATAGAAGAAAGAAATATAAGATTTTATGTACAAATAAGATATAAGAATTAAATAAGATAAAGATGATGTGTGTGCTACCTAAATAATAATTAAAAGTAAGTCTTTGAACAGGTTTCTTAAGCGTGTTAGACCAAGAGTTCATCTCCGGTTTCCAAAATGCACCACAAACTGCTTGAGAAAGCTTTTCTACTATGATAACTTGTGATGAAAATAAACAATTTGTGTTTAATAACCGTTTATTCAGATAAACATGAATTCTGAACTGTAAGTCTAATAATAATAAATTAGCTTTTATTAATCTCACAATGAAGAAATTCACTTCTGTATTTAACACATCCCCTTGGGGAGCAGTTGGCTGCCATTGTGCGGCACCCTGGGTCTTACTCAGGGACCCAGAATGCTAGTCCGTGTGAGTAGGGCTGGAAGTCAGAACCTCTGGATTCCGAGCTCTATTCCCTATGTTTTGGTTAAAAAATGAACATGAAATACCTCTTTAAATTTAGAAATGAGCTAGAAATTGTTAGATGGTGAAATATTTGGATAGACAGGGATAGGATGATTTAAACAACACAATAGCCCCTTTTCCATTGCCACTTAAAAACCTTGGGCTTCTTAAACCCAAGTAGCATTTAAAACACATATTTACCCAGGTAAAATAATTTTCCTTGGGCTTTAGTCCAGCTACAGAACCAGTACTTTCTAGCTTTCCCAGGGTTGTGTTCAGCTGCAGTGTTTGTTCCACCATCAGTGCCACTACCTGATAAAGATGAGTGTTCAAATGTTGTTTCAATACCTTAAGCTTGTAAAAAACTATGCTTAAGATGTTTTTAAGCAGGAAAGTAGTTAGAAAGTTGCAGCAGCCCAGGACTGCTGAATGTTTTATGAAATGGGTTGTTGTATTGTATTTATTATATTTTATCATTATAGTTTAAAAAAAATAGAAAAAAAAAATGTTAGAACTGTAAATGTACAGTCATTTTTACAATTTTTCAAGGCTGCACTTCTAAAAAAGATGAAATTGTCCAGAGAGCTCTTTCCAAACGAAATTTCTTTTTGTTTAACACTTTTTGTTTTGTAAACATAAAGACAAATAAAATCTGTATAAGTCAAAATCTGTCTATGTCTTTAGTCAAAGCAGTGCAGATGTTAGTGAGATGTCAGTGCAGTGGACAGCATATGCACAGTGCCCCAGTGTGAGTCTTGACTGGAAAATCAAAGGGATCACTAAAAGAGCTTCCCAAATTGCACACTTTGTAATGTCTCTGTTTATAGCATACTGTTTTAAAATGATGATTCTACGCTGGTTTTTGAGTCATAAAATAAGGTGAAGAGCACAAGTAGTTGGATATGACTCTTAAAAGGGAAAAAGTGCTAAAATCAACTTTATGGGAGTTAAATCAACTCTAGTCTTTTCTTGTATGGATTGGCTTTCTATTTGTATTTAAATAATAAAGGTTTAAAAGATATACTTTTCTATTGTATATTCAATTTGAAATACATGTCAAATAGAAGTCATCATTGACCACTATAGTGAATATGGCTACATCTGTGAGATACATTTAATTTGATTATTTTCTCTTCTCTTCTGTCTCCCGCTTCGTCCAGGACCGGGTGGCAAAGGCAGCAGTCTCAGCAGAGACACCCAGTCACCTCCTACAGCTCTGCTGTGGAAAGCCTGAGGCGCTTCCAGCCCAGCATAGTCCCTCCAGCGGGTCCTGGGCCTCCTGCCGATGAGATGTGCCTATAACACCATCTGAGTGGGGCGTCTCGATGACCCCATGCCCTGGAACTTGTTTGTTGTCATTCTTATCTTATTACACTGGAAAAACTATCTAGATATATGTAAAAAAAAATCTTAAATTAAGTGTTTTTACCCTTAATTTGAGCAGGTAAATGAGATAGTTTTCCAATGGAATGAGTATTTTTACTCTTAAAATAAGATAATTGGATAATTTGTACTTGAAATAAGACAGTGGAATTGTGATTTCTGTAAATTGTCCTGTTCCATTGGCAAAATGTCTCTTTTACCTCCTCAATCCAAGAATAAATGCACTTATTTTAAGAAGAAGTGACTTATCTAGATTTCCATTTTTTCCAGTGTAGGGCTACATTACATAAATTCTATGGGTGCCTGGTCGAAGCCATGGAACATGTGAGGCAAATGACAAACTTTTTTGGGACAGGTAGTAAAATCATACTATTTTGAGCCATAAACTTCACACTGTAAAAATGGAACAAAAAAAACCAAGAAGTTGTACTAGCACCACCTACTGTCTATCTGTGTACATCTCTGCTTCTGGGCTGAGTAGAGGCAAACAAGGCATCAAGAAATAGCACTATTACATTAAATTACTGTACTATTAACACGTCTCTTTAAAGAGTTTGTCTGATAATTGTTTCTTGAATATTTTGAAGCATTAAAATGTAAACAAACGGCATAAAACGTGAAATAAATCTGTTTGGGTAGACAATATTTTATTAGAACTATCAGAAGAGCTAAAAACATTTGTCTGAGTAAAACTGGTCAGAGTTATATAAGAAGTACTGAAGGTTTTTAAACATTTCTGTAGGTACTGGGCTACTATTCTACCAATACAAACTCCAACAAGGTGAAAAGAAAAAAAATGCTGAGGTTTCATACATGGGTTTTCATGCTATTTAGTTTAAACTCTTCTTTTTCTAGGATATAAAAAAAGATTTTTTATGAGCTCTTAAATAATAGATAACAAACTAGACTAAAACGTTCTAAAACAGAAGTTTTCCAATATGCAGATGTCCAACTATGTGCAGGAATATATATATATATATATATATGAACAGATCAGTAACCTTTAACCAGTAGACCCATTACTCAGATGGACATGTAGCTCACTCGGGGACCTCACAAAGCATATAGAAGTCAATGCAGAACTACAGTCACATTTGTCATATTAAAGAAGAAATTATGGCCAGTTTTCATTATTTTCTTCCCTACTCCCAAGAAGCTGCAGGACAACTGCCAGGTACCAGTAGGTAATATGCTACATATGACTCAGATACAAACCCTTTTATAAATTAGATCAATCTGTTGAGTTCATTTAGCTATGCTGCACAATTTCACTCTGCTACTATCACAGAGTAGAAGCCTTCAAAAAACAGTAGTCACAAGCACCGAAACCGCATAATGTTGCTTTTGCTTACCAGCCAAGCAATTACAAATCAAGCAAAATGTTGTAGTGGATTTATTTACAAATAATGCAAGTTACATAAATGTATCAGATGGCTGCAGCTTCCATTTATACAACCTAATACATATGAAGGCGTGTACATGTTCATGTATCACAGAGCACATAACAAATAAGGCAATTTTTAACACTTCTATGAGGTGGACTGTGCCCATACGCCCTGTTACTCAAATGAATGTAGAGAATCTTATAGCTATGCAGTTGAGGTCCCTATGCTAAATGAATGATCGAAAGGAAGCATCCTGCTTCCTCTTCCTACCTTCTTTCTTACTGTCAGCGCTATCTGGATAGCACTCATCTTGTCGATTATTGATGCACTTTCACCACTTTTGTGTCCTTGTTGATTTAATCAATTCAGATCAAGTCTAACCATGATATCAAATACCAGCAAAACATTTTTTTTATCTTATATATTATATATATATATATATATATATTGTATTTTTACAATTTTGGTATAATTACTGATCTAAGTGGATTGCTCTGTAGGGGAAAGGGACATTTTACATTTATATTATGTTTTATAGTCTCCATTCTCCAGTTAATGATTAATCACATACTAAATTAGTTGACGATTATTGAAATAATCAATTAATACGATTAATTTTTTCAGCCCTAGATAAAATAGATGAAATGGGCTATACAGAGTAACTACAGCCCAGATGTTCAACTTTTATAGTGAAGTTAATATTTTAATGAATGTATTATTTTGCTTGATACAGAGAGAGCATAGTAGGTAAAATATAAGAGTGGGGTTTAACTCTGCACTATTGTATATCTTCAAAAGAATATACTGTATTTACCTTCTCTATTAGTCATGCAAATTAAACCATTTACAAAGTGGAAAACAGTCCTAATTCCACATTCATCAGAGCCTGTGATACTTCAAACATTGATAAACAGCATCTAATGAGTGTAGTGCTTATAAAATTTTTATTAATGTAGCAAAATGATGCTTTTCTCTTTTAACAATGAATTCGTCTTATCAGTACGGATGCTCACATCGAGCATAAAAAAGGACACGCATATTGCAGCACCAATGACACCAGACCAATAGTGTCCCCACCAAAGTTCAAATCAAACCTATGCCCTTGGTTTCATCAACATTCAATAAACCTGTTCAACTTTTGTCATTTGGTCTCTGAGTGGTTCTCTGCATGTGGGTCAGATCGCTTAAACCAATTATTACAATCTGGTGTTTGGGGTTAAGTTTTTCCAAAGAGCTTCTCTGGGCCAAGTGCTCTAATAATGGAGATGTTCAGAGGATCATTAAAATTCTTTTTGAGATTAAGTTAACATTATGTTTTCTGGCAGGTCAGTATTACACAATGTTACCTGGGGACTAAAATACATAGCAAATACAATTAAGGCTGCAAAGTTAATTCACATTGTCTACTTCAGCTAATAAAATTATATAAAAAAAATACCAAAATATTGTATCACTTCAGGCAGATAATCAGAGAACATTCAAAAACAGTTTCCTCTCCAGTCTCAGTTTTAGATAAATCATTGGATGTTGCAGTGTGCTTTATTAAACTTTTAGAATGAGAGAGCCCTACTGTACCTTCTCCAGACCTGTCGTTTTGTCTTCTATCTGTTTAGGTAAAAAGATCAGCATGCTCAGCTCCTTCCCTTTGTAAGGCATCTCCAGGATCTGTAGAACAGAACGTTTTCAAGAATAAATAAATATACATACTGGGATGAAAGCCAGTCTTTTCCTGGCAGTAACTGTGTTTTTAACTGAAGGAATATCTTTATTACCTGACAGTTGGCTTCAGGAATGAAGGCAATTGAAAATAATGCTTCTTTTTGCATCATCTGTACAGTTTTCTTTTTATTCTGAACATAAAAAATAAAAAAATAAAAACACACAAATAAAAAATAAAAATAAAAAAACTGAATGTCAAAGAAACCCAAGGAAAATAAATAGAAAGTGCTATTACTATTTAGAACAGCCGACTGAGGGAATAGTTTTTAATTTTTACCTTGTTGAGTCTGAACTGATCTTCATAAGTTTCTAATTTGTTAAATGGATCATTCCAAGTGCCTTTGAAGTAGATGGCATTCACCAGGACCATCTTGGTCATGTTGTCCAATGCGCCGTCAGACACCATACCCTTGATTTTATCTATTGAAGAAATCAATCAGATAAGAGCAAACAACATAGAAGCTGCTTTTAACATCACATTAACACCAGAGGGAGCTAATGGTCTTCAGATTTCTTCTTTATTATGTGTAGGATAGGGTCAGATGACGAACTAAAGTGTGAGATCCACCTTGTGTCTGCTCCTCTACCCAGCTGTTGATCTTGACTCTGGCTTCCTCACAGCTGGTTCTGAAGTCCACAGACTTCAGCTCCGAGTTATAATAAGCCCTTGTTTTGGTTAAAAACTCCTGAGAGGACAAATAGCTGTTATAAAACAAACTAATGATTGTATCTCTAATTCAGCTTCCTAGTAAATCCTGATGGTTATTAGTCACCTTGTTATAACCTATGAGATTTTGCCAAGAGGACAATGAGAGACCAAAGAGCAACAATGTAGAAATGGTGAAGGTTTCTATAAAGTTATTGTTGAGTTCCAGAACACCTCAAAAGTGTTGATGCAGTGCCTCCACCGACTATTTAGTGCATATTCAGTGTACATACCTTTCGGCACACTAATATCTCTGCATTATTATTTTTAAATGATCCTATGCATTATTCTTATTTTCTTAGAAACTGAAGTGAGTGTTTTCATTTGGAGTTCAAGATCCTAGGTGTAGGCTATGCAAAGAGGCCCCAGAAACAGCATCTCACAGCAGGGTGTGAGATACTGGCAGCAACGGAATACATGGGACGTCTAATGGATGGTTTACAGAATCTATACAGAATACAAACTGGAGACCCCCAGGTCAAAATAGGAGCCACATCCCAATGTGGCGGAAAATGACAGAGCTAAGATCCTTAAAGATGCAAACACACAAAAGTCAGTGGTCAGTGGTCAGTAATAAGCAGCAGAGGACGGCCGTAGAGATCAATGTGGCCATCCTGCATGATGGAAGCATCAGCAAAAAACAATATTAGAACCTGGAGAAATACCATGGGCTCAGGGAAGAACTAGAAAGAGCCTGGAAGGTGAGGGCAACAATAGCGCCTGTGATCATCTGAGAACGGGGATGAAACCCCCAGACTGGAGAAGATATATATTTATATATATATATATATATTTATACTATCTATGTCTTGTTCCAGTAGCCAATTCAGTAGCCACTCAGTACAAGATCAATAGAGGCCAGGGTCTACCACACCAGGCAGGACCCCCGATGCAGACTGTGCAAAGATGCCTCTGAAACAATACAGCACATAACAGCAGGGTGTAAAATGCAGGCAGGAAGTGCATACATGGAACGCCACAACCAGGTAGTTGTCATAGTGTACAGGAACATCTGCCATGAGTATGGGCTGGAAGTCCCAAGGTCAAAATGGAAGACACCTCCTAAGGTAGTTGAGAATGACCGAGCTAAGATCCTATGGGACTTCAAGATCCAGACTGACAAACAGGTGATGGCTAACCAACCAGACATCGTGTTGATCGACAAACAGCAGAAGAAGGCAGTAGTGATAGATGTGGCAATCCCAAGCGACAGCAACATCAAGAAGAAAGAACACGAGAAGCTTGAGAAATACCAAGGACTGAAGGAGGAGCTAGAAAAGATGTGGAAAGTAAGAGCAGCAGTGGTGCCAGTGGTACTTGGAGCACTGGGAGCTGTGACCCCCAAACTGGGAGAGTGGCTACAGCAGATTCCAGGTAAAACATCAGAGGTCTCTGTCCAGAAGAGCGCAGTCCTAGGAACAGCTAAGATACTGCGCAGAACCCTCAAACTCCCAGGCCTCTGGTAGAGGACCCGAGCTTGAGGATGACACATACCACCCCACGAGGGGTGAGAAAACAGTTTTTTTTTTTTTTTCTATTACTGTGTGTAAGGTACAGAATGTATGCAGCACGTGAATTTAAAGTTGTGAATTGCTCAAATAAAGCATTGCTTTCAATTGATATTTTGCTTACCTGTTCTATGAAGATACACAACTGCATTATAGTTTAGGGGTTCCATATATAAACTGATGTTTAAACCATCATACAAATGACTCACCTGCAGAAAGCCATAGGACTGCTCTCCATACAGTCTGTTGGCAACACTGAGAGCAAATGGAGCTTCTGGCTGGTCGAGCTTATTGAGCAGTTTGGCAAACAGAGTGTGGACATCATCCTGACAAGACTGGATTTTCAAGCACTGTGCAAAAACAAGACAAATGGACTCACATTCTCTGTAGGAACTCTAAAACATGAGAGGTTGAATTTATTGCACCAAAAAGAGAAACACTATGACTTGGGTTTTTGGTGAAGTGAACACAATATTAACTCACCGTTGTTATCTGAGAGGCTGTATTGCCTCTGGCTCCCATCATTACCATGGAAAGAGCTGCAGAGATTCTGAAAGGAGAGAAGAAGATATTTGCAGTGTTGTCCTCATTCAGCTTCCTGAGCAAATCCAGACAGAAGGTGGTGTTGGCCTTGGATAGAGGGCTGGGGGAAGCCATTTTTGTCTGATATAAAGAGAGGAGAAATGACATTAATGGTTTTAAAATAATATAGCTTCACAAAAAAAAAACTGCCAGGAAACATCGGTCTTTAAGTAGGAACCAAATGCAGACAGGCAGGCAGAAATCTGATTACGTTGAAAAATTTAATAATTGCCCAAAAGTTAAAGGTGGTTGTGAAGAAATAGGTGAATTGAGATTAACAGAAAAGTGTTCATTAACCCTGCTGAATTTCTTGAAAAGTAGCCAATCAGAGGCAGGTTGCTTTGTCCAGTGGGTAACGGCTTCAAAGTGACAAAACTTGACACGGGCACCAGGAGACAGGTCCACACAGGAAGAGGAAGTGGGCTGCGCACCTGTGGTGTAAAAGAACAAGCACTCATGTGTGATATATCGGTGCCTGTCATACTGTATTTGCAAATGTTACATGCTAAACATGCACGTGAGGAGTTGTTCATGAGCGTCTTTATTGAAGTAAAGTTGCTCGTAGGAGAATATATTGAGTGTGTGGACTTTGGGCACAATCCTGACAACATAATAATTGTTAAGTGTTACTAAATAAAAGTAGTGGTCTTGAAGTGATCAGACCAGTTTATGTGGCAACAAGAAGATGCCAGGAGACCACTCAATTCAAGGGTGCATGACTGTCATGACAATTGTGATTACATCATTCAAACTGCAGCAGCAAACCAGACTGACAGCTCATTGGCTAATTTGTATCATGTGTAGCTTTACCATATTAACAGGAGAAGGGGTGCAAGTGAAGTTAGACACTGTCGTCGGACAACATACGGTAATTTCTAAATGTTTTAAATCAGGTTGGGTCCTGATTAGCCAGCAGGTGGGTCCGGTTCCGGACCGCGGTCCGCTAATCCGTGACCTCTGCTCTAGGGAGTTTTATTTTTACAATGCATAGGATTGGAACTAGTAAAAAAAATCTATATGTATAAAACAATGCTTGGTCACAAAGCCAAGCAAATTTTCTTGATCATTTACAGCTATGCAAAATTAGCTCGAAAGGCTTCACCTCGGGGAGTGGTGGCCTAATGGTTAGAGCATTGTGCTTGGTTGCCGGAGGTTTTGAGTTCAAGCCCCACTCCCACTGACTGCAATTATGGCTCCCTGAGCAAGACCCTCAACCCCACACTGCTCCCTGGACGCCTCACAGTGGCAGCCCACTGCTCCCCAAGGGGATGGGTCAAATGCAGAGGAGAAATAAATAGTTACATCAGCTCAAATAGTCAAAGTAGAAGAATGTGCCAAAGGAAGAAAAAGGTGCATGGTTATATAGAGTCTATACAGTGACAGCTTTTTTAAAAAGTTTTATTCATTTTTTTTTATATATTGGGATCATTATACAGGGTTATTGCACAGGATGTTTACATGGGTATTTATATACGGTAGATGAATATTTATATTTATATATATATAGTTATTGCACTGGGTGTCAGATATAGGGAAACAGGTTATTGCAAAGGGGATCCAATATAAACTGCACATTATACATTGCACAATTTATTGGTGTTGTAGTCTCAGATTGTCTGGTTGCAGCAGGGATGAATTACCTGCGGTAGTGCTCCTTTTTACAAGCAGGGTGTAAAAGTATTTTCCGAAAGGAGCTTTTTAGCTACTCTACAGACAATGAAAATATTATAAAATATAAAGGAGACAGCAGGAAAAAGAGCTTATTGGTAAACTTTCATCTGCATTTTAGTAGCATATACACTATATTGCCAAAAGTATTTGCTCACCCATCCAAATTATTGGAATCAGGTGTTCCAATCACTTCCATGGCCACAGGTGTATAAATTCAAGCACCTAGGCATGCAGACTGTTTTTACAAACATTTGTGAAAGAATGGGTCGCTCTCAGGAGCTCAGTGAATTCCAGCGTGGAACTGTGATAGGATGCCACCTGTGCAACAAATCCAGTCGTGAAATTTCCTCGCTCCTAAATATTCCACAGTCAACTGTCAGCTGTATTATAAGAAAATGGAAGTGTTTGGGAACGACAGCAACTCAGCCACGAAGTGGTAGGCCACGTAAACTGACGGAGCGGGGTCAGCGGATGCTGAAACGCATAGTGCGAAGAGGTCGCCAACTTTCTGCAGAGTCAATCACTACAGACCTCCAAACTTCATGTGGCCTTCAGATTAGCTCAAGAACAGTGCGCAGAGAGCTTCATGGAATGGGTTTCCATGGTCGAGCAGCTGCATCCAAGCCATACATCACCAAGTGCAATGCAAAGCGTCGGATGCGGTGGTGTAAAGCACGCCGCCACTGGACTCTAGAGCAGTGGAGACGCGTTCTCTGGAGTGACGAATCGCGCTTCTCCATCTGGCAATCTGATGGACGGGTCTGGGTTTGGCGGTTACCAGGAGAACGGTACTTGTCTGACTGCATTGTGCCAAGTGTAAAGTTTGGTGGAGGGGGGATTATGGTGTGGGGTTGTTTTTCAGGAGCTGGGCTTGGCCCCTTAGTTCCAGTGAAAGGAACTCTGAATGCTTCAGCATACCAAGACATTTTGGACAATTCCATGCTCCCAACTTTGTGGGAACAGTTTGGAGCTGGCCCCTTCCTCTTCCAACATGACTGTGCACCAGTGCACAAAGCAAGGTCCATAAAGACATGGATGACAGAGTCTGGTGTGGATGAACTTGACTGGCCTGCACAGAGTCCTGACCTCAACCCGATAGAACACCTTTGGGATGAATTAGAGCGGAGACTGAGAGCCAGGCCTTCTCGTCCAACATCAGTGTGCGACCTCACAAATGCGCTTCTGGAAGAATGGTCCAAAATTCCCATAAACACACTCCTAAACCTTGTGGACAGCCTTCCCAGAAGAGTTGAAGCTGTTCTAGCTGCAAAGGGTGGACCGACGTCATATTGAACCCTATGGATTAGGAACGGGATGTCACTTAAGCTCATATGTGAGTCAAGGCAGGTGAACAAATACTTTTGGCAATATAGTGTATGATGAAATTGGGAAGTTTAGTAAATATCAGCTCTAGTAGGAGTTAACTATTGTATTGGACTTTATATTGATGTACCAGCTCCCCTCAACAAGTTGTGAACCGTAGCAATAAGGACACAAGCATTAATAAAGGTTTTGTTAACTATCTCAGTGAAGAAAGATACGTTTGCATTTTTTGGTTGCAAGTTATATCTGTGAAGTCTAACTTTATTGATGTTATACTAAACCTGGTGTCCAGACTTTCGCCACCCGTGTTCAGGTTTTCGGCGCTCTGTTTTTTTTTCACTTCTGACTAATGAAGCATTTCTACACAGACTTTTTCTTCTCAGAAACAACTTTCTTTTAAATTGGAACACTGAATCAATTATGGTTTAGAATAATGGTTAACCCCTAGAACCCGACGGACCCACCGGTGGGTGCAGCTGCTACGTGACCTCGTAATTTTAACAAACCCCCAGTATTGATCTAAAAAACACATTTGGCACAGTTTGGTGACATTTTTGGATAAATGTGCCAAAATGGCCTCTCCGCCTAAGAAATTTCTCACTAATACCATTTTAAATAAATATGATTCATCTGATTGAGTCCAAATTTGGTATATTTTTACACAACATTTAGATTTAAAAGTCTGTACTACTTTTTGTGCTATAAATAATATTTTGGTAGTGTTTTGCAATGTTTATTTCAAAGAAAATTTTGGCGAGATTCAAAAAATGCAAAATATTTTGTATTTTGTCCCTAATATTTCAGGCAGGGTCAAAGCTACAATGGTGCTAACACCACAAAACCATTCTATGACATCTTACCTTTACAGAGGTACCAAAAGTTTCTTCTTAAATCTAATGGCTGTGAGGCTATAAGTGATTTACTTTTGTGTGTTTTTGTCAGGCAGAAATTTATTTATACCCCCTGAGGGTGTAAGAGGTTAACTAACGTTGTATTAGCAGATTTAGAAGGAAAAGCGGATGTAGCAGAGTAAATCTTGTTGTTTGCCTTGGATAGAGGGCTAGAGGAAGCCAGGAGACACTTAACCTTGACAAATTTGAAGTGAGAAAAACTCTGAGGAAAATCAACCCAAGAAAGGCCCCAGGCCCCTATAACATACCTGGGCAGGTGTACAGAGTGTGCAGATCAGCCGACTGGTGTCCTCATAGACATTTCAACACCTTGCTGGATCAATCCATAGTGCCAGCATGCTTCAAGTCTGCCACCATCCTTCCAGTCCCAAAGAAGCCTTAGGTCATCTCACTCAATGACTATCAGCCTGTCACACTGACTCCTATCATGATGAAGTGCTTTGAAAGGCTGGTTAAGGAACACATCGTCTCCAGTGTCCCCCCCAACAGTGGACCCCTTCCAGTTTGCCTACCGATGGAACCGCTCCACTGAGGATGCCATCTCCTCTGCTCTTCACTTTAGCCTGGCACACCTGGAGTGGAAAGAACACCCACGTGTGGATGCTGTTCCTGAACTTCACAGCATCTTATAGGCAAACTGGAACAGCTGAGCTTCAAAACACCCCTTTGGAATTGGCTGCTAGACTTTCTCACAAACAGACCTCAGTCAGTCTGGGTTTGACAGAACACCTCTGATGTCATCACCCTAAGCACAGGCTCCCCTAAGGGCTGCGTCTTAAGGCCCTGCTTTTCACCCTGATGACATACAACTGCATCCCCGGGTTCACCACCAATCACATTGTGAAGTTTGCAGACGACACCACGGTTGTGGGCCTCATCAGAGACGACAATGACCAGGACTACAGAAAGGAGGCAGCTGGTGGACTGGTGCAGAGATAACAACCTGATCTGATCACGAAGAATCGGCCTAACCCACTGCTCATCAATAGCTCAGGTGTGGAGGTGGTCAGCAGCACCAAATTCCTGGAGCTGCATATCACAGACAACTTCACCTGGACTGTAAACACCACCTCATTGGTCAGAAGGGCACAAAAACACACGTGCTTCCTGAGTTGGATGAGGAGAGCCCACCTACCCCCAACCATCCTCCCGACCTTCTATAGAAGCACAATAAAGAGTCTTATGTTTACATCTTGATTCCCAGGGTACATTTTACCACTGCTGCATTTTAAAACATATAAAATGTCTTAAAATGTACACGCTGTGTGTACAAAATGACAATAAAGTTTGTCTACGTCTAAGTCTCAAAGTCTAAGTCAGTAACTAAAAAGAAGCATCAGTGCATCATTTTTAACTTACTTGCACTTCCCAGCACCAACATTAAAAAAGCAATCATAATAGAGCTGCTGCTTTTAAAATGACTCACTGTTTTTCCTTGGAATGTTACATTGTTTTTACTTAAGCACTCAGGGAGTCATACTTTAAGACCACTGAATGAGACAGCAACCCCAATTACTCTAAGTGCT